CTGATGGTAAAATAAAGTGTTTTGCATGTGGTGGCGCGACTGTAATCTCAGTGGCTCTAGAGGCTGAGGCAGGAGGATCGGGAGTTCAAAGCCAGCCTCAACAACAACAACAACAAAAAACAAGTCACTAAGCAACTCAGTGACACCCTGTCTGTAAATGAAATACAGAATATGGCTGGGGATGTGGCTTGGTGGTTGAATGTCCCTGAGTTCAATCCCCGGTTTGGGGGGTAACTGAGGATTGAACTCAAGGGCACTCAACCACATCCCCAAATCCCTCCTCACCACGCCGGCAGATGAAGAGTTTTTTTTTTTTTWTATATATTCTAGTGACTCACCTGCTTGATAGGAGCCACTTTGTACTGAATTCAGATTTTTAATCTGATGGTATTATAAGGTCCATGAGGTTAGGATTCTAATGGGAAACCTAGGAAAAACCTTAAACTGATTTGAATAACTGGGGATTTGGAGTTTACACTGGGGGTGTGGCTCAGTGGTAAAACATCCCTTGGTTCAACCCCCAGTACTGCAAACCAAACCAAACAAACCCTGTCATGTTAAAGCCAGACGGAGGATCACATACTATATGATCCCATTTATATGAGACGTCAGAATAGGGAACTTTATTAGTGCTTGCTGCGGGACGGGGAGTGACTGCTAATGAACACAGGGCTTCTTTTGCAATGATGAAAATTTTCTAAACTTTGTAGTGATGATTGCATACCTTTGTAAATATACTGAAAATCACTACATTTTAAAATGGATGAATTGTTTGATACAGGAATTATATTTGAATAAAGCTGTTTTTAAAAAACCAACTAATAGCATAACTGCTTCTTGCTTCATGAATCACAAGCCAGATGTGCCTTTAATGAGGAACAGGCCACTGATCCCTGTGGTCAGGCAACTAGCAGAATGTCCTGGGGGCTGGGAGTGGTGGTGCATGCCTGTCATCCCAGTGGCTTAACAGGCTGAGGCAGGAGGATCGCAAGTTCAAAGCCAGCCTCAACAATTTAGCGGGCCCTAAACAACTCAGGGAAACCCTGTCTCTAAATAAAATATAAAAAAGGACTGGGGATGGGGCTCAGTAATTAAGTGCCACCAAGTTCAATCCCCAGTGCGAAAGAAAGAAAGAAAGAAAAGCAAGCTGTTCGGTACCAAGGGCAAAGGCTGAGAATTCTTAATTACAGTCCTTCCATGTGTAACTTGAGAGGGAGCCAGTGAAATTAGTGCAGGAGTCCTTCATCCCTTCACACCTTCATTGTTGAGCTTTTACTATGTCAGAGCTCACAGCTTAGGTCAAATACAGAGTATGTCAGCGGGATAAAAGAGAATACTTTTTTTTTTTTTTTWAMMRRAARSMAMCMWTWMYTWAAAAAAAAAAAAAAAAGCCCAAAGAACCCTGGATATCCAAAAATAATCTCAAAAATGAACAAAGTTGGAGAACTTTCACTTCCAATTTCAAAATTTACTGCAAACAACAGTAATCAGAAGTGAGGGGCACTGGTAGGGTGCAGACACAGSGATGGATGGGACCAAAATGAGAGTGCGGAGCCCAACTCCGACCTTTACCATCAATCGTTTTTTGGCAAGGGTGCCAAGACCATTCAATGAGGGAAACAACACTTGGCATGGAGACACGAATGTCCACAAACAAAAGAGCCAGGTTGGACCCTAACTCACACTATATACAAAAGATTAACTCAGAATGGATTAAAGGCCTAAATGAAAGCTGAAACTATAACACTCTCAAAAGGAAATACAGGTATGAATTTTTGTGACCTTGGATTTGACCATGGAGTTAGATACAGACCCCAAGAGCATGAACAACAAAAGAAAAAGTAAATAAATTGTACTTTATCAAAATTAAAAACTTAGTGCATTAAGATGCTATCGAGGGGCTGGGGTGGTGGCTCAGTGGTAGAACACTTGTCTAGCATGTGTGAGGTACTGGGTTTAATCCTCAGCACCACATATAAATAAATAAAATAAAGGTCCATTGACAACTAAAAAATATCAAAAAAAAAAAAAAAAAAAAAAAAAAGCTCTCAAGAGCCAGATTTGGTGGCACACACCTGTAATCCTAGTGACTTGGGAGGCTAAGGCAAGAGGATCCTGAGTTCAAAACTAGCCTCAGCAACTTATTGAGGCCCTGAGACCCTGTTCCAAAAAAAGGGATGGGGGGATGGGGATGTGACTCAGTACTCAAGCACCCCTGGGTTCAATTCCTGATACTGGGGGAAAAAAATGCTGTCAAGAAAGTGAGAAAACAATCTACAGAAGGGGAGAGAACATTTTTAGGTCATAACTAGAATATTTAAAGAACTCACAGCTCAAAGTTAAACAGACAATGCAATTGTGAAAACAGGCAAAGGGAAAAATAAATAAATAAAAATGGATAAAGGATCTGAACAGATACATCTTTAAAGATATACCCATGGCCAATAAGCACGTGAAGAGGTGCTTAATATCCTTAGTTCATCTGAGAAATGTAAAACAAACAAACAAACAACAAACAAACAAACAACAAAAGTCACGAGTGTCGCTGAAGATGGAGAGAAATTGGAAATGCCTTACATCACAGATGGGAATGAAAATGCAGCTGCTTTTGAAAACAGTGACCATTTTTCAAAAAGGTAAACATGAGCTGTCATTTGACACAGCAATTCTGCTGTGAATACATGTTCACACAAAACTCACGTACGCCAGTGTTCATAGCAGCTTTATTCATGAGAGGCAAAAGGTGTAAGGTGCCCCGTGTCCTTCGGTGGATGAATGGATAAATAACATGTGCTACATCCAGACGGCGGGGCATTATTTGACCACAAAAGGGAATGAAATACGAATACATACAGCAACAAGATGAGCTTCAAAAACATTTTGCTCTTAGTGAAACCCTGTCTCAAAATTAAAAAAACAACAACAAGAACAACAACAAMAAAAAACCATGGAAAAGGCGGGTCTGGGGATGTGGCTCGGTGATTAAGTGCCCCTGGGTTCAATCCCTGGTACCAACAAAACAAAACACCCCCCCCCCCACACACACACACACATCCCTGAGGTCCAGAAAACCAACCAACCAAACATTTTACTAAGGGAAAGACACCAGTCATGAAAGGCCACAGACTCTAAGATTCTGTCCTTGTGAAATGTCCACAGTAGGAAAGCCTGTGGAGACAGAAAGCAGATTGGTGGGAGATGAGGACGTTTGGAAGTGATAAAGGGTACTGAGTTTCTTTTTGAGTTGAAGAAAATGCTCCTAAAACTAATTGTGGTGATGGTTGCACGACTCTGAAACTACTAAAAGCCACTGAATTGCACACTGTAGGTGCGTGAATTATGCGGCCTGGGAATTACATTTTAATAATGCTGTTATATAAAATATGATAATAATGGTCCTTCTCTGGGTAAGTGAGATGCTTCAAAGCAGTCTGGTATTGACTGTCGTGGGACTGAGGCTCTTTTTTGTTTGTGTGTGTGTGTGTGTGTGTGTGTGTGTGTGTGTGTGTGGTATTGCTGGGGATCCATCAAACCCAGGGCCTCCTGCATGCTGGGCAATTACTGTACCACTGAGCCACACTCCAGCCCAATTTTTAGAGTTTTGTAGACAAAGAATGACAAATCTATGAAGGGGTGACAGAGCCAGTAGATGTCTGGTCTTGGGGTGGGAGACTTAAAATTTGGGGATGTTACTAAGCAGAGGCATCCAAGCTGGGCACGGTAATACCCGCCTGTAATCCCAGCAACTCCAGAGGCTGTGGCGGGAGGATTGAAAGTTCAAAGCCAGCTTCAGCAACTTAGCAGGGCCCCAGGCAATTTAATAAGACCCTGTCTCTAAATACAATGTAAAAAAAGGGCTTGGGATGTGACTCAGTGGTTAAGCGCCCCTGGGTTCAGTCCCCAATATCAAAAAGAAAAGAAAAAAACCAAGACATACATGTGGGTGGGGGTTGAGGCAGAAGCCAGTGGACAGTGGGTGGCTTCAGTTTGTTTGGTTGGAAACTCTGAGGCCCATCTCTGGTGATGAAGGCTGTTTAGGGGGCTCAGTAGAGGAAGGACATTCACCCCCACCCACACCCTGAAATCTTCACGGCCTGCTTCATGTAGAAGACAGAGATGACCCTTTCCGAAGTGTTAGGTCTGCGTGATTCCCGCCCACGGTGATGCTGACAGGGCCGTTTCCGTGGGGAAGTCAGTGGCAGGCCTGGTGTCAGGTCAGTTGTCCGACCTGGGTATGGGGAGGCCGGAGCGGCTGGAGGCACCTTGAAGACCTGACACCAAGTGGAAGAAGCCAGGCACAAAAAGACAGATAGTGTGTGATTCCCCCTGAGAGGAAACATCTAGAATAAGCAAATTTTAGAGAGAGCAGCAGAGAGATTACCAAAGACAGGGGATGGGGGGCGGCCAAGAGGGAGTTGTCGCCTCATGGTGATAGAGTTTTGGTTCAGCGATGAGAATGGTTTGGAAATAGTGGTCCTTGCTCAATATCAGGAATGTACTTAGGAGCTCCAAACTGTAGACTTGAGAAGGGGTCACATTGTTGCCAGTTTTGTGTACATTTTACCACAAAAGAACCACCCTGTGCAGTGATCCCTCTGACCCACATGGCAGGAATCCGTGGCGCGGGATGGACCTCAGGTGTAGGGTTTTCTCTGCATTGAAATGCTGTGTGAGTCTCACCTGTGGATCGCAGGGCTGTTTTTGACATCAGAGAAGATGTCAGGGAAGAAGGAATGAACCTTGTCCTAAGTCAGTACTTCATTCCTGTGGTCAGTGCTCCAAGCCCTTTCTGGCTCAGGAGCTGGACTGCAGAGGGCTTCTGTCACTCTGTTCTGCTCCGGAAGCAGGTCGGATGGGCTCAGCAGGGTTCCTGCTTCCTCCAGAAAGCACTGTGCATTGGCATTCCGGGGAGGCAGACAGGGCCGGGGCCAAGAAGGGGGCATGATGTGTGGCCTTCTGATGCTCGGATCTGACGAGACCCTTGTTTTCTCCCTCAACAGAAAAAGGAGATTTCATCGCCCTGGATCTTGGTGGGTCTTCCTTTCGAATTCTGCGGGTGCAAGTGAATCATGAGAAAAAACAGAACGTTCACATGGAGTCCGAGGCTTATGACACCCCGGAGAACATCGTGCACGGCAGTGGAAGCCAGGTGGGTCCCCGCGATCTTAGGTCAGCCCCACTGGGCCGGTATCCCCTGGGGCACCTCCAGGTACCAGACTTCCAAGCACGGGTGTCCCGAGCCTCTGACGGGGGTCTCTGGAAGGAATCTGTGGTGGTGTCCGTGGTAAGGACTCTTGGGTGAGGGACGTGGCAGCCAGCATGGGCTGGACTTTGCTGCGAGAAACATCCACTAACTGGGCCAACTGGGGTCGGGGGTGGGTGCTCAGACTTTCACAGGGTAGAGGGTGTCACAGGGAGGCCCTGCAGCTCTGTGGGGTACATGCTCTCATCCTGGGTGGGTTCCCCAGCAGTGTTAGCAAGCCCTGGGCTGGAAACACTCCTTCTTTGAGGTCATTGACCTCCTCCCCTTCTCACCAAATCCAGACCCTGGTAGGCTATGGCAGTGACCATGTTGGGCAGGAATAGAGTTCACAGCGCAGGGGACTGAAGGGTCTCGTTCCTGGTTGAGTAGCATTGTGTACAACCTTGGCATGGCCAAGAAAGAGGCAGGGCTTGCTTTGGAATTCACGGTCCCCTCCTCTGACACTTGTACCTGAGGCCCACTTCCTCCTGGGCCCCGGGCAGGCTGCTTCCTGTGGCTGAGGGCCATTGGCATGTCCAAGAAGGGTCACCACCCTCTCCCCACCCTGCCCCATCTAGTTGCTGTGAGTAATGGGTCCCTGGCTCTCCAGAGCCCCGTGACCAGGGTTCAAGAACTCCCCTCGGGTTTTCAGGCATCTCTGGGTCTGCTGAGCCCGCCCCGCGGGGCGCTCTGCTGCTCCCCCCGGGGTCGACCTGCTCTCTGGGCGGTGCCCCCTCCTGGTCGGGGCTGCGGTGTGTTCACAGGAAGGTCATGACTAGGTTCTCCAGAGAATCCATTGGTTCTGGATGGGCTTGGAGACGAGATACAGGAGCCTTCTCCTCTGGACTCCACTTTATTCCTAAGGACCTGGAACCAGCCACCCAGCCTTTCTTTGTCCAGGAAACAAGGGCTCATCCGGCCTCTAACTTGCTCCCGGGGTTGGGGTTCAGAGCTTTTCAGACCCCATCACAGTGGGCATTGAAGGGGACACTATCACCAGAGCCCCTATGGCCAGCCGCTGACCCCTGCCTGAAGGTTCCCCACAGTCCCTCCTGTCCCGGACCCTTCATGCCGGGGTGCAGGTGGCTGCTTGCCCATTAGCCTCTGCACTGATCCTCTTGCGGGTGGCCTTTGGTTACAGGCACTGGCCTGTCACCCTTTGTTCCCAAGACTCTTGGCTTGAACCACCTAAGCCTGGTGCCCCCACCACTGAGACTGTCACTCTGCAGACATTCCTGTGGGCTTGGACCTGGCCTCTCAGGAGCAGGGTTTGTTCATTCAGGGGTCCCACACATTCACTCTCACTTTTTTGTGTGTGGGGGCACCAGGGATTGAGCTCAGGGTCACTTGGCCACTGAGCCACATCCCCAGCGCTATTTTGTATTTTGTTTAGAGACAGGGTCTCACTGAGTTGCTTGGTGCCTTGCTTTTGCAAAGGCTGGCTTTGAACTCGCAATCCTCCTGCCTCAACCTCCGGAGCCTTGGGGATTACAGGCCTACGGCCCCCACCCCACCCCGGGCTAGTAACTTCCTTCTTTACCATTGTCTCCCTCTTCCAGTCTCTGTCCCCAACTTCCCTCTTAGTTGCAGGATAACTTTGTTTCCTGCCATCTCTATTTCTTCCTTTGCATCTCTGATGATGGAATAATTTTGTATCATTACAACAGATACTTAATAGTGCTCGTTATATGCAAGTCCCTGATACAAGCACTTGATATGTATTAACTCATTTAATCATCACAATAGCCTCATGAGGCAGGTATTGTTATCATTCCCGTTTTACAGATGGGAAATAGAGGCTTAGCTGTTTATAACTAGCCACTGGGATCTGAACTTGGGTGGTTTGATTTCTAGAAGTTATAGTAGCAGCAACTTGGAGCTCCTAGGCAGGGCTTTGTGTTTTATCTTTGTTTGTTTATTTACTTAAAAAAAAATTTTTTTTTTTGATACAAGGGATTGAACTCAGGAACACTCGACCACTGAGCCCCATCCCCAGCCCTATTTTGTATTTTATTTAGAGACAGGGTTTCATTGACTTGCTTAGCGCCTTGCTTTTGCTGAGGCTGGCTTTGAACTTGTAATCCTCCTGCCTCAGCCTCCCGAGCCGCTGGGATTACTTACGAGCATGCACCACCACGCCTGGCTATTTTGAGTGTTTTTAAATTGATTTTTAAATCTTTTATTTGAAATGTTATTAAACTTCCAGAGAAGTTCTCAGACAAGCACAGGGAGCTCCTTTGGACCCTGTTCAACCGGATTCTCCAGTTGTCAGTTTTTCCTATTATCCTTGTCTCCCCCCAAACACAAACACACTGAGTCTAAAAGACTTAGTGTAATTTTAAGCTTTAACAACTTCATAAGCACAAATTCAACATTTTTTTAAGAGAGAGAGTATTTTTTAATATTTATTTTTTAGTTTTCGGCGGACACAACATCTTTGTATGTGGTGCTGAGGATCGAACCCCGGCCGCATGCATGCCAGGAGAGTGCGCTGCCACTTGAGCCACATCCCCAGCCCCAAATTCAACATTCTTAAAACATGACTTAGGGCCCGGTATGGTAGCTGTGATCCTAGAGATTGGGAGGCTGAGGCAGGAGGATTGCAGGTTTGAGGACAGCTTCAACAACTTAGCAAGGCCCTGCCAGGCACTATGGTGCACTCCTGTAATCCCAATGGCTCTGAAGGCTGAGGCAGGAGGATGGTGAGTTCAAAGCCAGCCTCAGCAACGGTGAGGCGCTAAGCAATTCATTGAGACCCTGTCTCTAAATAAAATACAAAATAGGGCTGGGGATGTGGCTCAGTGGTCAAGTGTCCCTGGGTTCAATCCCTGGTACTACTCCACCCCCCGTAAAAGCAAGGCCCTAAGCAATTTAGCAAGACTCTGTCCCAAAATAAAAAAATAAAAAGGGCTGTGGATGTGACTCAGTGGTTAAGTGCCTCTGGGTTCAACCCCCAGTGCACAGTATCAAAAAAAAATAAACAAACAGTTTGGGGGAATTTTGGATAATAAATATTAATTTTTTAATTGTAACCAGTTTGCCATCTTCAGTCAGAGAGACTGAGTCTCTGAGTCTCTGTGTGCATTTTGAGAATAATAAGCATTTTGTCAGGAAAGAAAAAGACGGAAGCTTCTTTAGGTGCTAAAATGTCTTGTGCTGAGGGGGGCCTCCCTGCTCCTGGTTGATGGCGGGCTCTGGGCAGCCCTGGGCTGGCTTCCTGCCTCCTTGGGCAAGCTCATGGCCCTGGTTTGTGGAAATTCCACAGAAATGGCCTTTTCTTCTCAGTGGAGCGCTCTGGGGATGGGCTTTGGCTTGGATCCCGGAGCTGGGGACGCACCCGGCCATGTGAGCCCGTTTCAGGGTCTGCGGGCTCGCGGCTCCCGCCCCTTCCCAGGCAGCCCCTGTCCCCTCCTGCTGTCCAGCTTGCAGCAGGGGAGTCCGGAGGCGCGTCTGAGTGCAGATGGCTTGGGGACTGACTTAGTGATGGGTTTATATCAATCTGAAATATAGGTCACCGGAAGCTTAGCCCTGGCTCTCCAGGGAGGGCGGTCATGTGTCCCTTCAGAGATGCTGGCTGCAGCCTGAAAAATAGTGGCTTGGGATGGCGGCTCCTAAATCGTGATGGATCGGGTTCCTCTTACCCTGAGCTTCGGCCACGAGCCGCGCAGACGAGACCAACTGGGTTTAAACGGCTGCCTGCAACACGAAGCTGAGAAAGTGGTGGAAAATCACACAACAGAGGGGTTTTTCAATGGGGGCGGGTGGCTCTGCGACCCCGAGGGTCCTGCTTGCAGGCTGGAAGGCGAGAGAGCGCCAGAACCCACGATGCATTTATTTACAGGGGAATTAACAAAGGATTTTCAACAGAATGTTCTTCACCAGAGAAGGCAGGGGTGGGCTGGCCAAGCCCCCATAGGTAACGCCCGGTCCAGAGTCGGGGGGAAGCAGACTTCTTGGCCAGCGAAGGTGGGGGCCACCTGCCTTGTGCAGCCCAGACGGTCCACAGTGCCAGACCGACACCCCCGTGGCTCAAGGCGGAGAGAGGATGCTCAGTACAGCTCATGGGTGGCCCCCACACCTAGGTCTGACTTTGGAGCTGCGTCAGGCATCTGGGGAACATGGGAATGGCAATAATGACCCCTGGCTCCCTTTCAGGTACACTCCTCCAAAGAAACCCTTCAGGCAGGTGGCCTTGTCTGAGAGCTTGGGCTGGAGCTACTTTGTGTGACTGAGTGGTTTGGCCTTTTCAGTGCTGCCTTCTTCTGAGCACCAAGAGGCCTGGTGGCTGTGATAGTCCCATTTATAAAAAAAGTCTGGTGTCATAACAGTTATGTGAAAAAGACAGGGAGGTTACTAAGACTGGCACACATAGTCACAGGTTGGATTAATAGAAGCATAGCACTAAAGAAATGGGAGGTTCTGTTTCTACTAAGCTTTCCTCTGGTTGGAACACATATAGAAATCTATCTTCAGTTCTGGTTACAAATGAGGGGAGTTATTTGAAGATCCAAAAAGTTTAGAGATGACAAGTCTCTTGTCATTGGCCGTTTGCCTGCAGAAGCTAGAGAATCATTGTCCTGGGCTCTTCCTAGTGGATTCCTCAGGTGTGTATGCACCTAATAATCATAGGTAACGTGCTCTAGAGCAGGCCAGCTTCGATTGCAAGCCAGTAAATAAGTTGTGGCCTACTCACACCGTGCAGTGTTGTGTAGCAATTCATATGAAGAGTCCACAGAGACGCACCCAGCGTGGTTGACTGTCACACGTGTAGAGTGAGAAAACATAGACACCAAGCAGCTCGTTTCCATTTATGTGCAGTAGACGGGGAGCACAACCAGTCAAGGGTGTTAGAAATGAGGGTGGCAGGGGAAGTGACCAGGCAGACATGAGGTTGGTATCTGGGTCTTGTCAATGTTTTTCTCTGTACTGGGGATTAAACCCAGGGGCACTTAACCACTGGGCCACATCTTCAGCCCCCTTTTAAATTTTATTTAGAGACAGCATCTCAATAAGTTGCTTAGGGCCTCACTAGGTTGCTGAGGCTGACTTTGAACTTTCGATCCTCCCATCTCAGCCTCCCAAGCTGCTGGGATCATAGGCGTGCACCACCATGCCCAGCTAATTTTTTTTTTTTTTTAAGTGAAAAGTATTTGTCTGGTGCTCAGGATGAACCCAGGGTCTCCTGCTCGTTAAGCACTGGACGACTCAACTACATGCATCCCCGGCCCTTTGTAGTGGTTCCCGATGTGGGTGCTGGTGGCTGCAGTCTGTGAGAATCCAGTGAAGGCCACACGTAGGGTGGGTGCACTTTTTGTTCTGCATGTCGTCTTGAAGCCTGTCTGTCACGGCAGTGGGCCCAGGCTGTGGAGTTGCCATGCGGTTTCTGGAATTCACAGAGAAATCAGCATGGGAAGGGGCCAGAAGGCCACTCCCGCCAGGTGGTGACAGCAACCCATAGACAGTGTGTTATGGAGGGATAAGCCGATTTTCTCAGCACCCAGATGACATGGGTCAGTGACTGCTGAGAGGCCTGTTCCCTCTGAGAGTTTGAGACACTTCCTAAGAGTTGTGCTAGACATGGGCCACTCTTTCTGAGTGGCTTTTGTGGGGACAGGACCCTCCGGTAGATGTGGTTCTTTCAGTGTGTAAGGGATGGAACCCGTTCCGTTTCTCCCTCAGAATGCTCCGTCCCTCGTCCCTATTGACTGCTCTTTGTGTCCTTCTAGCTTTTCGATCATGTTGCCGAGTGCCTGGGGGACTTCATGGAGAAAAAGAAGATTAAGGACAAGAACTTACCCGTGGGATTCACGTTTTCTTTCCCTTGCCGGCAATCCAAGATAGACGAGGTAAGGCAGATGCCCAGAGTGGGAAAGCTGATGAGCTCCCCCTTTTTTTTTAAAAAAAARTTTATTTATTTATTCATTCTGATTTGTTATACAGGACAGCGGAATGCATTTCAGTTCATAGTACACACACAGAGCACGGTTTTTCATGTCTCTGGTTGTTCACAAATTAGAGTCCCACCATTCGTGTCCTCATACATGTACTTAGGGTGATGATGTCCATCCATTCCACCATCTTTCCTACCCCCATGCCCCCTCCCGTCCCCTCCCTACCCTTTGTCCTATCTAAAGTTTCTTCCCATGCTACCCCCCACCCCATCCCCATTATGGATCAGCATCCTCATATCAGAGAAAACATTTGGCCTTTGGTTTTTTGGGGATTGGCTTACTTCACTTAGCATGATATTCTCCAGCTCCATCCATTTACCTGCAAATGCCATGATTTTATTCTCTTAATGCTGAGTAAAATTCCATTGTGTATATATGCCATAGTTTCTTTATCCATTCATCTATGGAAGGGCATCTAGGTTGGTTCTACAGTTTAGCTATTGTGAATTGTGCTGCTATAAACATTGATGTGACTGTGTCCCTGTAGTATGCTGTTTTTAAGTCCTTGGGTATAGTCCGAGGAGAGGAATAGCTGGGTCAAATGGTGGTTCCATTCCAAGTTTTCCAAGGATTCTCCATACTGCTTTCCATATTGGCTGCACCAATTTGCAGTCCCACCAGCAATATACGAGTGCACCTTTTCCCCCACATCCTGGCCCACACTTATTTTTGTTTGTATTCTTGATAGTTGCCATTCTGACTGGAATGAGATAAAATCTTAAGAGTTGTTTTGATTTGCCTTTCTCTGATTGCTAGAGATGTTGAACATTTTTTTCATACATTTGTTGATTGATTGTACATCATCTTCTGAGAAGTGTCTGTTCAGTTCCCTGACCCATTGATTGAYTGGGTTATTTGTTTTTTTTGGTGTTAAGATTTTTGAGTTCTTTATGTATCCTAGAGGTTAGTGCTCTATCTGACGTTGCTAACGAGCCCTTTTTCTCTGCTAACGTCTGCCCGTGGCTCACAGGGCAACCTGTGTATCTGGTATCTTTAGAAACATTTTCAGAAATTAATGTGAGGTCACCATGTAATTTTTTTTTTTAAATCACTTTAGTTGCTGATGTGTTTTTTGGACACAAATCATGGTATTTATGGCCGCCAGGGAAAGTGAACTATTTATTAAACTTGAGCTAGTGAAAGGAAATACATCAATGGAGAGAGGAGGGAAAGTCCTCGGTCAGAATGGCACAGTGTGGTGGCATTGATCTGGCGGCCCCCTGGTCACTGAGTCTGGGCCTGTCCCTCAGATACTGCTGGGCAGTGGCTCCAGCCCCAGAGAAGCCCTGGGTTCCCCTGTCGGCCTGTCGCACCTGCCTTCCTGTTCGTATCTTATTTATCTGTTCATCAAGGAAGCACTCGGACCCACCGTGTGATGTCTTTTACCTCAGAGAACTGCAAGGATACGAAATAAATAGATACAGCTTTGTGTCTTTCCTGTGTGCAGAAACAGACCCCCCCAGCCCCCCAGCCCCATAAATAAACCCCTAACAATAGGACTTCTTGTCCAGGGCCTAGCAGGCTCTGTTTAAATACGCATCCCACAGCTGACACACATGGTCTTCAAACACCTCTGTGAGTTCAGTGCTTATGAGTCCCATTTTACAGATGAGAAAACTGAGGCTGATAGGACTTAAGAGCCTTCCCAAGGTCCCCCAGGCCAGGAGGTAGCAGAGCCTGTGCTCACCGCTAGTCCACATTGCCGCAGTGCGGTAACCTTTGGGCCTGGGGCACCTTCTGCCATGGCAGGCAGTATCCTGGAGCCCTGAGTCAGCAGGGTGAGCACCCACTTCATGGGAGCCCTGGCTCTTAGGTCTGTGGCATCACAGGAAGGCATGTGAGGTCCAGCAGGCCAAGCCCTCAGTTCAGGTGGAGAATGGAGGTCCTTGCAGAGTCACAGGGCCCCTTAGTGGCAGAGCCTGGGCCAGGGATCCAGGCCCCACCTTCTCTCAGTACCTCTGAGATGCCGCTGGGTCCTCTTTCACCCAGTCAGCGCTACCGTGGTCACATCTGGTGTCTGGCACTATTGCCCCTCCAAGCTGTGCAAAGCAATTTGGCCTCCAGAGTGTGTCTCCCAACCTTCCCTGAAGCCTGTGGCTGGGACAGCAGTTGCCCCGTGTCGATGGGAGACACATAGCAAACCTCCAGCAGGTGCCAGAGTCGGCAGGTAGCTGCAGACCACACAGGATGTAGGATTTTTCCTGTACGTATACACTGTAATGAAGTTTAATTTATAAATTAGTCACAGGAAAAGATTAACAACCATAACTAATAACAAAACGGAACCATCTTAACAAAATACTGGAATAAAAGTCATGTGAAGGTACAGTGTCCCTCAAAATGTCAAATGGCACTGTGAAGTCTGACAAGTGATCTGATAACCAGTGTGGCTACTAAGTGACTGTGGGTACTGGCCAGGCCTGGGAGAGAGTGGTCAGCAGACCTGCCTGTTCCCCAGAAGGCACAGGGACTAAAATGCACCTGGGGTCTGGCTACAAAGCCGACTTCCAGTTAGGCTTGCTTGCTGTGTGACCATCCTCATGGGCACGAGAGCCTTCAGGGTGGACCACATTTGCTTGGAAAGGGCCACTGAGTGGCCAGGCTGCCTTCCAGGGAGCACGCAGGTCACAGACACGACAGGAGCCTGCGACCTCTAAGACTGTCCAAATCTAGATCAGCTGCCTTAATTTGATAAGCAAAGTGAGTTCAGAGGAGTAGAGGGAACAGCCCTCAAGAAAATGGGCAGGAGGTTGGAGGTAGAAGCTTGGTCTCCTGATCCCACCCCCTTGGTCTTCCACAGCACCAAGTTCTCTGAAGCTTTTGAGGGGTAAAGGTCAGGGGAAGAAAACAGGTCCAGAGGTTTCTGCAGTTCCCAGCTTAGCTATAGTTATAGTTGCTCCCGAGCAAAGAAACACAAACTCACCCGTCGGCTCTCCATCCCTATAGTTATTTTTCTTTTCAGTGTCTTGAATTTTTAAAAAACATCCAAAAGCAGCATGCAGAGCTATTAAAATAATATAAAATTTTGATGCAAAAAGAATTCCTACCCCTTCACATTCCCAAGTGAATAAATCATTGGCTGTCTATTCTCGATGTTTCTCCATTAATATGCAAACAGAAATGGATTCGTAATATATTAATAGTGGAGACCCTGCTTATAAATGGAACCTTAGGTTCCAAAGAGGTGCACGTCACACTAGTCAACACTGTCCTTTCAATATCTAGGACTGGCTCGCATAAGCCAGTCTCTTGGCATTTTGTTTCTCTTTCCCATTTAGCTGTGGCCTTTTTTCCCTGGAGCCACGAAGCCACGTCCTGAATGGAAAGTCAGGGAGGCGACAGGTCCTCCTGGGGTTTCTCTTGCCCTCTCTATATTTGGTGGTACAGGGGATTGAACCCAGGGCCCTGCACATGCTAGGCAGGCGCTCTGCCACTAAGCTACATCTCCAGCCCTTTTTGATTTTGAGAGAGGGTCTCACTAAATTGCTGAGGGTCTCACTAAGTTGCCCAGGCTGGCCTGGAACTTGTGATGGTCCTGCCTTAGTTTCCCAAGTAGCTGGGATTGAAGGCATGCGCCACCAGCCCACAGGGGCACTTAACCACAGAACCACCTCCCCAGTCCTTTTTTTTTTTTTTGTATTTTATTTAGGGCAGGGTCTCACTGAGTTGCTTAGGGCCTCACTAAGTTGCTGAGGCTGGCTTTGAACTCGCGATCCTCCTGCCTCAGCCTCCTGAATCACTAGTGCCACCACTCCTGGCTCGGCTCTTTCCGGCTTTATTGGTTTTTGTTTGTTTGTTTGTTTTTTGTTTTTTTTCTTGGTAATGGGGATTGAACTCAGGGGCACTTGACCACTGAGCCCCCTCCCCAGCCCTATTTTGTGTTTAGAGACARGGTCTCACTGAGTTGCTCAGTGCCTTGCTTTTGCTGAGGCTGGCTTTGAACCCGCGATCCTCCTGCCTCAGCCTCCTGAGCCACTGACTACAGGCCACTGTGCCTGGCCTCCTGCTTTCTTTTTAAGTGGGGTCTGGCTACAAAGCCGACTTCCAGTTAGGCTTGCTTGGTGTGTGGCACTGCAGTACCTGCTGGCCACTTGTTTTATTCTGGTGTGAGCTGGAGACTGTGGGCCCGTTTCTTTCCTCCTCTGTGGTTGCCCTGAGAGAACTCCATCCTGGGGGTAAACAGGAGAGGAGCAGAACGGACTCTCACCCAGGTGAGCTCGAGAAGGCCACTGGACCCCTGCTGTCCTCCTTGGAGCAGCCCCCAGCGGCCTGGGGCGTGCCAGGCTCCCGACTCTCTCCCCATGGTCCACTCTCCTTTGCAGGCCATCCTGATCACCTGGACCAAGCGGTTTAAAGCCAGTGGCGTGGAGGGGGCCGATGTCGTCAAGCTGCTGAACAAAGCCATCAAAAAGCGAGGGGTAATTTCTCTCAGGCTGCACAGAGGGGAGGAGGGGAGCCGGGTCCTAAAGCCGACTAGAGCCCTCTCTGGGGGGCCGTGGTGCCTGAACCCGAGCAGGGCCAGGTGAGGGCCCAGGAGTGTTTAGGGCCAGACTCTCAAAGATACCAGGGCTGGGGCCAGGACATCACCTCCCAGGGGAGTGTGGGCTGAGGGAGCCACCGCCTAGCCTGCGGGCTGGAGCAGAGACCGAGGAGCTGACCTTCTCGTAGGCACGGGATCTCCTGCTTCCTGCAGTGGTTTGTGGAGGAACGTGACTCAGTGAGTAAAATCCACTCCCCAAAGGATCCTAAGCCAGATAATTAAGGGGACCGTGCAGTTTCCGTAAGGTAATCACAGTTCTCTAATCCAATTAGTTTGAGTCCTGGCAGCAACATAGCCAGCACCACCCCCCAGAGCTGGGGAGATTCTGAGAACCGTGCGTTCTCGCCAAGCTCTCTGGGGGGGGGGGTGATCCCTGCCCCCATGTGGGTGTGGACACCAACACCCCGCTATCCTTCCCCAGGACTATGACGCGAACATTGTGGCTGTGGTGAACGACACGGTGGGGACCATGATGACCTGTGGCTATGACGACCAGCAGTGTGAAGTCGGCCTGATCATTGGTAACGAGCCCCGGTTGCTCAGCCCAGCTTTTAGCTGATGATTTGAGGCTCCGCCTTCCAGCTCCCCTGTGACTGCAGCTCCCACGTTGTCTCCCAGGCACGGGCACCAACGCTTGCTACATGGAGGAACTGAGGCACATTGATCTGGTGGAAGGAGACGAGGGGAGGATGTGCATCAACACTGAATGGGGAGCCTTTGGGGACGATGGATCACTGGAAGACATCCGGACCGAATTTGACAGAGAGTTAGACCGAGGGTCCCTCAACCCTGGAAAACAGCTGTGAGTTTTTGACATTCTCCTCTAGCTCCCTACATGACCTTAGGGACACTTAACAAAACCCCGGGGGTGGGGTGGAAGATGGAAGGGTGCAAAGCCAGGTGATCCCAGATGCAAAAGCCCATCAGATGTGCATGATTTTTGGCTCCTCATTTGGATAGAGGCGCAGCTGTGGAGTCAGTAGCTTTCAAAGCAGTTCTTAGATATTATTCTCTTTGTTTAGTTACATGATACTTGTGTCCTTGTGAAATATTTTGAAAATTAAAAGCACAGAAGCGTCAGTATAAAGATACGGTTGAACGTCATTCCTACATGCTGCAGTTGCTGGTCTGCTGCTCAGGAGGAGGGGACCTCATCATACGTGGGGCCTCGGTCGAGCAAGGGAGAGGAGGGAGCGTGCATGTGTCAATATTGTCAGCACATATTCACGGAGCACTTTGTGCTGAGCTCTGTGCTAGACTCCAGGGATCCAAAACAGTGCCTTTCCTCCCAGGACTTACCATCCTGATGGGAAGGTGGGTCACATCGAGCCACACAAGTCACGCAGACCTTAGGAGAAACCCGTGTCAAGCACAGGAGGGAGGATCAGAGTCCATACGACATCCAACTTCCAGGCGGGTGGATTTTGGCCTGGCGAGTTCCTGGCATCATTCAGGCTCCAGTGGATGGCGCCTTCTCTGAGCCACTCTTTTCCTGAAGTGCCTGCGTACATTTCTCTGTGATGCAAGCACGCCGCCAGCCCTCTGAGTTGGCCCAGCCTCTGGCAGCCTTGTCCTGGGCTTGGGTTCTGTCAGCCTGCAGAGAGGTGCTCGCAGACCCTGTGCACCTGACGGCCAGACAGAAACAGGGGTTGACTGAAACCCGTCACCTGACAGATCTCCATGCGCCCAGCTGAACAATTGGTCTTTCCACCCGAATTAATGGAATTGCATAATCATGGGTGGCAGCCCTCCCCCCACCGTGGGGGAGGGGGAGTGGAGGAACCAGGTTCTCAGTGAGAGGCTGTCCAGATTCTTAGACCCAGAGATGAGCTTCTGCTTTGCAGGTATCAGCTTGGGGATAAGGGACTCTAGTTCCAAAGCTTTGACAGGCAACAATTTTTGGGGGTTCCCTCCCCCAACCATGAACTTGACTCCTAGTCCTAAAACCTGATCCCAGCTGACATGAAGTTATTGCCAGTGCCTGTGGACGCTTCTCCAAAGAGCCTGGATGTGCCTGATTACAGGGTGCCTTGGGCACCTCTGAGTGGTCTGTGACGTACGGCATCTGTATCCTGATGTAACCCTAACGTCCCCCAGTCTCCACAGTCTCAATCACATGTGACCTCAGGGGCTTCAGATAAGGGCTTATGTGCTGTAGCTTCCATCAGCCACTTACTCAGATGTCTCCCTTCTCAGCAGTGTGGACAGGCAGGTCACTGTGGTTGCTGAGCAGATGTGGTCTAGGCCCTTGTCTGTATCCTTGGCCCAGTRTGGGAACCCTGCCTGGCTTGCCTGTGAACCTGGATTTCGCTGCCATATTGTTTTTTTTTTTTTTGGGGGGGGGGGTACTGGAGATTGAACCTGGGAGCACTTAACCACTGAGCCACATCTCCACCTCTTTTTTGTATTTCATTTAGAGACAGGGTCTCACTTAGTTGCTGAGGCTGGCTCTCGATCCTCCTGCCTCAGCCTCCTGAGCCACTGGGATGACAGGCGTGCGTGACTGTGCCCGCCTCCCTTCTTTCATCTTCAACCCTCTCCTTCCCTCCAGATTCCTTGGGTTTCTTGTTCTGTTGTCTGTGTTGCCTGGAATCCCCAATCCCATCTCCCTCTGATTCCTATCGTCTCCTTCAGGGTGCGAGGAGAGCCTTTGCCCCACACAGCAGCCGGCGCYTTGGCCACAGCGGCCGACTCGGGCTGGAGAGGGAGCCCTGTGGCCTGGGTGGTGGTGGAATAACTGCACAGGTTCCCGGCCCCACGCCTTCTTTTTCTTCTTGTTCTGCTCCGTAGAATCTCTGCCTAGCCATGGGCCTCTCCCTCCTTTTCCTTCCCCAGGCTGACCGCTGGGGCCAGTTGCTGTGCACGTCCTCGCTTCTGACCCCGACCCCATCTCAGCCCTGCCTGGGCCCACCAGCAGGCATGGTGCTGCTCCTCGATGCTGGGCCCTGGCCATCGGGGTCTGAGTGCTGAGAGGCAGATTTCACGTGGGCAGAAGGGACACATGGCCAGGGAGAGCCGCTGGCTCCATCAGCCTTTGGCTTGTGCAGAAAGGGGCTCTTGGGAGGTGCCATGGTTTGTTCTAAAGACTGAGAAAGGACAGACCTGGCCCTGGCTCCACCTGGAATAGGGTCATCAGTGCTGCATTTGTGAAGGACCATTGGGTGGGACGGGAGCAGATCTTTGTGGGTGTCTCCAGAAGGCAGAGGAAGAAGCGGTGATGGGGTGCCAGGAGCCTGGCATTAGCTCATCCTGAGGGGGAAACTTGTCCTTTTGTCACACTGCCCAGTGGTGGTCGGGCTACCTAGGAAGTGACTGGAGGAAGACAAGCAGAAGCTGGGTGAGGGATGAGGCTAGGTAGCCCTGCCATGGCAGTACTAGCTAACATTGAACGGCACTGTCCATGAGACAGACAGACAGACTGCACAGGGTTAGAGCAGAGCTTCTGGTGTTCCGTTTACCTGGGTTCAACATTTGGGTTTGCCACTGTTAGCTCTGTCCATGGGCGAGTTTTATAACCTTTGCTTCTCAGTTTTTGCATCTGTGAAGTGGGTATAATGCCAATGTCTACTTTGTAGGATGGTCATGAGGATAAAATAAGTTAATATATTTAAAGAGCTGAGAAAAGTACCAGAAACATAGGAAGRTTGTAAGAATTCATTATTAGACACCATAGTATTTGACCTATATTAACCCACATCCTCTGTATAATCTGGTAAGAGGCCCTGTTACTGTCCCCAGTACAAAAGTGAGGAGACTGAGGTCCAGAGCCATGAGGAGCCCAGTGGAAATGTAGCAGGGCTGAGCCTGGGTAGTGAGGCTCTGCCTGGCTCCTTCCAGCTTGGTCCTCCMCGGGGGCTGGTTCCCACAGGTGCCTGGGGTGGCAGCTGGGCAGCTAGGACCCAGAAGGATGCTCCTTCCAGGGCCATGGCTGGGCGGTCCTGTCTGGTCCTGCAGGAGCAGGAACAATGGGGACTCTGTCTCTGAAGAGGCTCTGTGCTTGCTGACSACGCTGCCGGCTCAGGTCCTCACAGCATCTGGGCTGCCATGCCCGGCTCTGACTGGAACAGATTGTTTTGCTGTGTCACTGTCAGCTCTGGGGATGCCAGCCCCGAGAGGGGAGGCCGCGCTCTCACGGGGGCCTGCCTCTTTGATCCGCCCTCCTCAGGGTTTCCTCCTGGCCCCTGGTCAGCCAGGATCAGGGCTGAATCTGGCTCAGATACAACATGGAGCCCCGGTTCCCTGGGTCTGGCCTGGGCCTGTCTCAGTTGTGTGTTGGCTTCAGTCTGAGGCTCCGCCGGGCCAGGGCTCCCTGCAGCGCTGAGCAGGGGGGAGAGGCTGCTGCAGTAACAGGGCTACACCTCACGTCCCCCCAGGAGAGGGAGTGGCTCGCTTGATTCAGCTGGAGCAGGACATGGAGCTCACTGGCTTTCCGCCTCTCAGACCCCATCCCTGCAGCTTAGGGTGAGGTCTGTTGGGGCAGTTGGGGGTGACTTTCTCCAAGCGCAGAGGGTACCAAGGAGAGGTGATCAGCAAATGTCCCAGCAGCAGCCCAATGAGGTGAATGCTTCCTTGACACCCCCTTCCCACGGGAGGGCCCCTGATAGAGCCATGGAGGTCAAAGCCCTCTGAAAAGCACAGCAGGCCTGGGTGTGGTGGCACACCGTGATCCCAGTGGCTGGGGTGGAGGGGATGAGGCAGGAGGATTGTGAGTTCAAAGCCAGCCTCAGCAACTTAGTGAGGCCTTAAGCAACTCAGCCAGAACCTGTCTCTAAATAAAAAAAATATAAAGGGTTGGGGATGTAGCTCAGGGATTAAGCGCCCCTGAGTTCAATGCCTAGTACCAAAAAATTAAAAATAAAAAGCATAGCAGGCCTATAATCTCAGGGATCGTCTCTAGGGAGGCTGAGGCAGGAGGATCACAAGTTTGAGGCCATTTTCAGAAACTTAGTGAGATGCTGTCTCAAAATGAAAAATAGAAAGGTCTGGGCGTGTGGCTCCGTGGCAGCGCACTCCTGCATTCATCCCCAGTGCCTCAAAACAAAGCAACAGAACACGGCTGACAGTTTGTGAGGGATGATCGAAGTCCACCTGCTTGTCTGGAGCCTTCTCATTTGTCATTGCCAATCTACGACTTAGCATTCCCCTGCCTCCACGCTGCCTTCCCCGCCTCCTCCTGCTGGTCTCTTCTCCTTGGCACAGGCATGGGGGTGACTCGCCCCTTCTGGAGTCTCCGTCCTGGTCCCCTCTTTGTTGAATCAGACGAGCGTGGTTTTGCCTCCCAGGGAGACTGGGAGCTTGTGAGTGGTGACACTCCTTTTGTGTCTGTCCCCTTCCTCACATGCTGCCCCAGGGTTGGGTGTGGAGGAAGGACTGACGGTGCCTGTGTGCTCTCTCCTGCAGGTTTGAGAAGATGGTCAGTGGCATGTACTTGGGGGAGTTGGTCCGACTGATCCTGGTCAAGATGGCCAAGGAGGGMCTCTTGTTTGAAGGGCGGATCACCCCGGAGCTGCTCACCAGGGGCAAGTTTAACACCAGTGACGTGTCTGCCATCGAAAAGTAGGTGCCACGCGGAGGCTTTCTGGGGATAGAGGGGACAGAGAAGGGAGATAGGGCCCTTCCCATCGTGGCCGGTCCATGGTTAAAGAAGCACCTAGTTATCAGCCAATGCTTCCTGGGGGGGTTTTCCCTTCCAGTTAGGAAAGCGACCCCCCCCAACCCGCCTCCCCCTTCTCTCCTCCCCCTCTCACATACATGCAGCCTCAAGGCAAGATTAGAGCTGAGGAAGCTCCTGACTCCTGTGTTGAGTGACAGTTGACCAAGCCCGGGCCTGGGTTCCTGGAGCTCCCTGTAGATATGTCCTGACCTCCTTCAGACTGTGTTCCAGGGAACCCTAGAGACCTCAAGATGATACTTGGATGATTTCAGTAGGTTTGAGAAACGTAGTACATTTATCTTCCTTTTAGAGATTTACAATATTTATTAGCCTGTTAAAAAAAAAAAAGAACCTAGTTCCCTTTGGTGAACTCATTCATTTAGTTAGCGTTCCATYCCTGTGACCAAAACATCTGACAAGAACAACTCAGAGGAGGGAAAGTTTATTCGGGGCTCATGRTTTGGGGTCTCGTCCTCAGACAGTCAACTCCAGGGCTCTGGGCCCAAGTGAGGCGGCACGTCCCGGGGAGGGGCCCAGCAGAGGAAAGCCACCCAGCTCGTGGTGGGGTCAGGAAGCAGAGAGAGATGGGGGGAGAGAGACAGAGAGAAGGGGCCTCGGGGAAGGTGCATCCTCCAGGGGCGCCCCCAGTGACCCGCCTTCTGTAGCCACGCCCCACCTCCTGCAGTGACCACCCACTCCATGCAGTCAAACTCAGGTGGACTGATCGGATTGCAGCTCCATGAGGAATCGTTTTACCTCTGAATATTCCTGCATTCACAGGAGCTCTGGGGGGCACCTCCTATCTCAGCCATCATACTCATTATTCCCTAAACTGCTTTTGTGCCTCAAATCCCTCCCCACCCCCACACACATTCAGGGAACATTTTGTTAACAGCCAGAAATGTGCCCTGAAACAAGTTTGAGAAACAGTCGTTTAACAGATGAGATTGGGTAGATTGACAAGGGACAACCTCTTCGCTGGCCTTTGGCATCCCCAAAGAAACCCGGAGTCCACTGTCTTCACTCTTAGTCCCCGGCCTTCACTCTGTGAGGKACGTGGGTAGACTTGATCCCGGTGCTCTTGTGGCTGGCTTCCGTGGGCCCCTAGGTTCAGGAGGTGCCATCTGGCTTCCTGGGGCCACTTACATAAAGACGAGGCCAGCGTGCTGCCTTCCTCAGTGCCAGGAGTGCTGGTGCGTCCCCACAGGAAGGAGTCATTTTCCCYGCCCCCTGTGTGGTCCTGGGAACTCCCACGCACATCAGCTTCTGTGTGGTTGGAGCAGAAGCAGGTTTTCTGGGCATCAGTAAATCTGTGCCCTGGAATTTGTCCTAGTGTCGTCCTTCTTCAGGAGCCATTGGTGCAGGGGTACATCAGGCAGGGAACCCTGCTCCTGAGTTTCCAGCCATCTCTCTTTGCAGGTCTCCTGGGCCTGAGAACGGAGGGGACTGGGGGAGGGTCCAGTAGGAGCAGGGCAGCSGCTTGACTCAGTCCTGTGTGAAGTCAGGAAATACCTGCCTTCCTCTTGGTCTGCTTCTGCTCTTGGCTCTTYACTTAGCAAGGATCATAAAATGCACTTGACCTAGCCCCAGAAAGCCTGTCTACATTTTAATGAAGGCTTTCTCCACAAAACACCCTATAAGCAGGGATGTTAGATGCTTTCTTTCGAAAAATCAATACAATGTCACTAGTTCCGACTCACCATTTGGGCTGGAGTTAAGACTCCAACTGAAAAGCATTTTTAAAAGAAGTTAAAGGCATAAGAATCAAAACAGGAATAAAATTGTCATCATTTGCCAGTGATAAATGTCTTTGTGGAGAATTCTCCTCAAAGTCTGTAGGGAAGTGAATAATATCTGGAGATAATATTAGAAAAGTCCATTATGTTTGTCTATTCACAATAATTAAAGTGTGTCTATATGTTTTTGAAATAAACTTCTCATTTTGGAATAACTTTAGATTTKGGGAAAATCTGCAAAGGTAGCACCAGGGCTCCTTCCTGCACATTCCTCTTCTGTGTCCCCCATGTTAACCTGTTAGGTCACTGTGTTGTTAAAGGGCGGTGTACGTGTGTGTGTAATTTTCAGAGATCAGGTACAATAACAGCAAAACTGTAAAGTCCCTCTGAATGAATCTCACAAAAACTACACAAGACATGCACRTGGGAGATTAAAATTTTGACAGAAAAACCCCAGGAAGGGTAAGAAGCAGCTCACAGACCCCATGAGCAGCCTTGTCCCCCAGGCCTCCCCTGGTCCTGGGCTTGGGCAGAAGAAGCTGTGGCCCTCCCTGCTCATGCGCTCCCCTCCACGCCTGGCACCAGAACCCAGCCGAACAGTTGTCCCTGCCACCAGCAGGTGTGCGTTGGGGAGTTGCTTCCTCCCTGGGCTCTTGGAGGTGTTGGACCTCCGGGTCCCACGGTTTGCACACCCGGTGAGTCGGGGTCAGCCTGGAGGCCCCGTGCTCTGCGCTGCCTGGCTGGTCCCTCACTCACCAGCTCTGGGCTCCAACCTCACAGGAATAAGGAAGGCCTCCACAATGCCAAAGAGATCCTCACCCGCCTGGGCGTGGAGCCATCTGACGACGACTGTGTCTCGGTCCAGCACGTGTGCACCATCGTGTCCTTCCGCTCTGCCAACCTGGTGGCTGCCACACTGGGTGCCATCTTGAACCGCCTGCGTGATAACAAGGGGACCCCCAGGCTGCGGACCACGGTCGGTGTGGACGGCTCTCTGTACAAGACGCACCCACAGTGAGTCTGCCTTTGCTGTACTTGTCTCTCAGAGTTTTGCAGCCAATGAAAGGTTTTTTTTTGGTTTTTTGTTTTGTTTTGTTTTGCAGACAAGACATGTCTGATTCTGGGCAAAGAGGCTAAATTTGCCCTTTGGCCCTCGGTGGATTCTCTCTGGTGTTACCTCAAACGCCATTGGTATCTTTCCTTATCTCTAGCTGCAGGGGCGCTGGGCGGAATGTGTCTRTAGCTCATCTGCATTTCATCAGGAGGAACTTCATCCTTCTTGTAGTTTAGGTTGTAGGTACACCTCCCATATTCTTGTTTCAGAAACTCCTGATAAAATTCCCCAGCTCCTTGGCCATTCCTTTTTTAAGTGAGGGAACTTGTCACTTGAGACCAGAGAGATAGTAAGTAAGTGGTCCCCACTGATACTTGCTGCTTTCTTGTCTGTTGGCTGCCTTGGCCCGTCTCCGCTCCCCGGCCAACCTTAGCTTCCAGAGCCTACTAGGCCACTAAGGACATGACTTGAGCCAGGCGTGGTGGTGCACGCTTATAATCCCAACGACTCGGGAGGCCGAGGCAGAAGGATCTCAAGTTTAAAGCCAGGCCTCAGCAATTTAGCAAGACTCTAAACAATTTAATGAAACTCGGTCTCAAAAAATAATAAATAAATAAATGAATAAAAGGGCTGGGGATRTGGCTCAGTGGTTAAGCACCCCTGGGTTCCATCCCTGGTAGCAAAGACAAATTTTAATTATATGTTTGGTAAGTTTTAAGAACGGACTGCCTGTGGCATGGGTTTTGTATGCAGGACCTCAGGTAGTTTCCCACTGTGCATGTATTTCACACAAAGTGATACTGTATCAGATACTGTGCCTTCACACGGTGCTGGTGAGCCTTGGCCCTGAACTCCTGGGCTCCGGTGATTCTCCTGCCTCGGCTTCTTGAGTTCCCGGGATTAGAGGCACACATCAGCGTACCAGCTTTTTCTTTGGAATTTCTTGGCTAATTTTTGGACAAGAGACCAGGCATGGTGGCACTTGCCTGTAATCCCAGCAGCTTGGGAGGCTGAGGCAGGAGGATCACAAGTTCAAAGTCAGCCTCAGCAATTTAGTGAGGCCCTAAGCAACTTAGCGAGACCCTGTCTCAAAATAAAAAATAAAAGGGTTTGGGGATGTGGTTCAATGTTAAGTGCCCCTGGGTTTAATTCCCAGTACCCCCCACCCCATCCCTGAAAAAAATTTTCTGGACAAGAAAGCCTAACGATTTGCAACATCACATTATTTTTACTGTGATAAAAGGTATACAACATCAAATATATCATTTAATCATCTTGAAACATGCGGCATGTTTCATGAGTTCATTCTTTTTTTTTTAAAGAGAGAGAGAGAGAGAGAGAAATTTTTAATATTTTTCAGTTTTCGGTGGACACATCTTTATTTTATTTGTATGTGGTGCTGAGGATYGAACCCAGAGCCCAGCGCATGCCAGGCCAGCGCGCTACCGCTTGAGCCACATCCCCAGCCCATGAGTTCATTCTTATTGTGCAACGATCACCATGAGCTATATCCAGAAACGTTTTTCCATCTGCAACTTCACATTTTAAACAATGACTTTAATTCAGTTTTTGCACTGTTTCTCATTTMAGAAGTAATATTTACTCAGGATGGAAATTTGAGATAGTTTAAAAAGTTGCAAAAAGAATAGAAGCCCTTCTTCTTCTCATCCGTTGGAGTCGACATGTTAATATTTTGGGAAACCTTTTTTCCTCTTCCCCTTGACAGCAGCCTCCACACTGCAGAGCACAAGTTCTGTGTCTTATGCCATCCTGTCCTCAAGATCTTTTCCAGCCACTAAGAATGTCCAGGATTTGGGAGTGGGGATGGAGGGAAAGAAAGAACCCATGTGAAAATAAAAAAAAAACAAGAGTAATTATTTATTGAGTCCTTCCTCAGTGCCAGTGATTCAYGTAAGCATGTTGATTACCTTATTCAGTTTCCAACAGGACACTGTCACACAGACACTGATCCGCATTTACTCCAAGGTCAAGTTACTAGCTCAAGGTCACTTATGCGAACATGGTAGTGCTCACCCTTGTTTTCAGATCTGACTTTGAAGCACGGTGCTTTGAGTAGCAAGGTGGTCTCCTTGACATGGTGGAGGACAACATCTCTGGACTTTGAATTTTTTGTATTCATTACTTATAAAATAATGAGGATCTTTTTATGGGTAATTGTGGGCAATTTTGTTTTTCTTTTTTTGCACAGATGATTAAACCCAGGATATAGCACGTGTTAGGCAAGTGCTGACCTATAGTCCTGATCCTTTTTATTTTTCATTTTGAGACAGGGTCTGGCCAAGTTGCTGAGGCTGGTCTTCAACTTGTGATCCTCCTGCCTCAGCCTCCCAAGTAGMTGAGATTAGAGATATACACCACCAAACCTGGCTATTTTTCCATTTTCCTTGTCTGCATTTGCTTTTTTTTTCTACAGTGGTTGTGTAGGACTTGTAATGAAAAAAAAAAAAACAAGTGTAGAAATGGAACTAGAGTGTGGTGAAAGAAAGGGGTACCAAGCTGGGCACAGTGATGTACCCTGTAATCCCAGAGGCTCAGGAGGCTGAGACAGGAGATTAGCGAGTTCAAAGCCAGCCTCAGCAATTTAACAAGGTACTAAGCAACTCAGTGAGACCCTGTCTCTAAATAAAATACAAAATAGGGCTGTGGATGTGGCTCAGTGGTTAAGCGTCCCTGAGTTCCATCCCTGGTACCCCACTCCATAAAAAAAGAAAGAAAAAGAAAGGGGTACCAGAGGACTGGGGATAGAGCTCAGTTGGTAGAGTGCTTGCCTCACATGCACAAGGCCTTGGGTTCAATCCCCAGCACCGCAAGAGGCCCCTGACCGGTGGCTCAGTCCAGCCATGGCGGCGCGCCCACTCCACTTTCTTCCCCAGGTATTCTCGGCGTTTCCACAAGACCCTGAGGCGCCTGGTGCCCGACTCCGATGTTCGTTTCCTCCTCTCGGARAGCGGCAGTGGCAAGGGGGCCGCCATGGTGACCGCCGTGGCCTACCGCTTGGCTGAGCAGCACCGGCAGATAGAGGAGACCCTCGCCCACTTTCGCCTCACCAAGGAGATGCTGCTGGAGGTGAAGAGGAGGATGCGGACCGAGATGGAGATGGGGCTGAGGAAGCAGACAAATGACAAGGCTGTGGTCAAGATGCTCCCCTCCTTTGTCCGGAGCACCCCAGATGGGACCGGTGAGGGCCTGTTGGGACTGCCAGGTCCTCCTGCTCATGACAGTGACCCCGTCACTGCAGAGCTGGGAGGGGGTGGATCCTCCAGTGGACGCGTTTGCACTAGTGATGCCGGATCTGGCAGGAGAGGGAAGCTCCTTCTCCATGTTTACCACTGACTTGTCCCGTGTGTGGCTCAGGGCCGCTAAATCCCTCTGGCCCAGCCTCCTGGTCCAGCACTGTCTCTAAAGCCGTGTTAGAATTAGGGAGCTGGTTTCACCGAAGAAGGAAGCTGGGTGGGCCCTGAGTTGTTCTAGGTTGGCTCACAAACATGGCAAAGCGTCAGAAGAATCAACACACAGTGCTGCCTTCTTCAATCCCGGCAGGGTGTGTGTGAGGGAGGCAGGGGCCCTGGGCTTGTCACATCTAGGCAGATGGAAGAACACCATCCTGTGCCCAATGCCACCTCCATGATTCTTGTTGGAGCTGAGCTTTGTGCAGAATCTGAAAGCTTTGGGGTGGATCCTTGGAATAATGCGTGTTAGTGATATGAATATCTTCTGTGTAAGTTACTTATTTGCACTAATGATGCATGATTGGCCAGAGCAGGACACTTAGTGGCATAAATGAGCAAGCATTTATTGTTGCTCACGAGTCTCTGTGTCAGCGGGATGGTTCTGCTTCTCTGGTCCAGGCTTGGCTGATCTCTGCTGGACTCGTTCCTGAGCTGCAGTCAGCTGGACGGTCAGCTGGGAGGGTGACCTGCTGGGGTGCAGGGTGCTTGGCTACATGGGTCACCCTCTAGCAGGCTACTTACTGGGCTTGGGCTCTTCAGTGGCAGCAGCAGGATCCACCTGGAGACAGAAAATGACTTCAAAGCCTCTTGGAGGCTGAGGTCAGGACCTGGCTCAGCAGTGCTTCTGTCATATTCGTTGGACCCACGATCCAAGGGGAGGAGAAACAGACCCCCGTGTTTTGGTGGGAAGGATAGTGGCTACTTCTGCAAGCACTCCACACGTTGACATGAATTATTCATTTTTGTATGAAGTTCCCTAAAATCAGGGCGTCGTTGCGAGTCTTTTTAATAGGGTTTGTGAAGTTTGTTTGTTATTGTGACAGGCAGTTYGCTCCTGGGGCCTTTTGTCCTTGCAGTGTGACTCGGTGGCTGTGGGCAGTGATTTAGTACCCACCCCTCCTCAGAGCCCACGCTGTGTACTGGTCGGGTGGTTCCAGCTTCGAGCCCCGCCCCCCCGTGTGCAGCCTGGAGACGCTCCTCTTGCAATTCTGGAGTCTAGGGCTTGCCAGCTGCCCAGAGGCACATAGCAGTTTGTGGCATTCTTTGTGTTCTTTACTCTTAACAGAGCATGGTGACTTCTTGGCCCTGGATCTTGGAGGAACGAATTTCCGTGTCCTGCTGGTGAAAATTCGTAGTGGGAAAAAGAGAACGGTGGAAATGCACAATAAAATCTATGCCATTCCCCTTGAGATCATGCAGGGCACTGGGGAAGAGGTGAGTCAGATCTGCTTTTTCATGTCCGTAGTGTGTGCACGGCACACACAGGCCTGGAGGTACCCGTGGTCTCGTGAGGACCAACACCTGCCAGGGATGCCCCCAGCTGTGCATTTCTTCCCTTGTGGCCCAAAAGCACTGGGTATTTTCAGCCTTGCCTGGTCCACAGTGCTCTGGTGGCTGGTAGATCCTGGAGAAAGGGGCTTACTCTGCATGTGCCTCTGTGCGCATGCGTGTGTGTGCACGTGCCTATGTGCCTCTGTGTGTGTGCTGAAAGTATGAAACCAGAGAGAGCCTGGGCGATCCCTTCTTGTCCCCTACAGCTGTTTGACCACATTGTCTCCTGCATCTCTGACTTCCTGGACTACATGGGGATCAAAGGCCCCCGGATGCCTCTGGGCTTCACYTTCTCATTTCCTTGCAAGCAGACGAGTCTGGATGCGGTGAGTCTCTTCCTTTGGAACAATGATGGCACCTGCRCGGCCACAGTGGGCTGGCCCTGGAGGCCTTCTCCAGGCTCGTTGTCACCCCTATGTGTCTGCTTCTGGCTTCCGTGGCCCGGAGAGTATACCCAGGCTTTATTCTACCCACCCCAGAGCATCCTGAGCCCTCCTCTCCTCTGGCATTATCGACAGCAGTCTCCTCTTCTGGGAAGCCTTTGGGGCCTCCAGGCACCAAGAACCTCCTCACCCTCTTCTGTGTTCCCTGGGGTGTCACCTGGATGGTGGCTTAATACATGCTCATTTGTTAGATGAGACGAAACAGGGCCCAGGAGGGGCTGAGGACGGGCTGAGGACTAAGCTCTGAGCACGGAGCYAAGGGTTCCTGTTCCTGTCCTCARGGAGCTCACTGCACCGAGGGATCTGCCTTTCCGCTTGCATCCAGCACCTGCGCTTGCATCCAGCACCTGTGCAAGGCGGGGCTGGGGTGGCGTGGCTGGGTGCATGCAGGCACAGGGAGTGGTTGCGCCCTCACCCAGGCAGGACTGAGCCTGTTTCTTGGAAGAGTTGTTATTCTCTTTTATCCAAACAAGTCGGGCATTGCAAATGGGGGCGTGGCCAGGGAGGGGGCTTCRGGCCAGGGTTTGAGGCATGATTGGCAATGCTGGGAGAGCCAGGGAGGGTGACGTAATGCCGTCCTGCACTGTGACTTTGGCGATGGCTCCTCCTAATTTAGAGCTGAGCAGTTTGATCTRTGTAAATGTGTGTTGTTGTTTTTGCAGTTTTTAAAGCCTTAATGATTTTTCTCCAAGCAGTTTGCTTCTACTGTCACCTTATATTCCTCATAGTGACTTTGCCTCTRGCTTTTTTCCCCCCAGCAAGTGTGCAACTTCCACCCAATGAAGCTGAGGTTTACTTGAGCTAGTACAGGAGTTATTAAAATTATGCCTTCTTTCAGTTAGGTAGTCAGTAAATTCCTCAGGGGAGCTAGTGGGTCATGCCATGGCAGCACCAGGCTAAGAACCTGTGTAAGAATTGTCCAGTATGGCCWTTTCTTTTTTTTTTTTTTCCTTTCTGTGTGATACTGGGGATTGAACCCAGGGCCTGGTGTTCTACACCCCCAACCCCAGTATTGCCATTTTCCTAGGGACTTGGACATAGCCATTAACTCTATGTGCTTCATGGGCTGGGGATGTGGCTCAAGTGGTAGCGCGCTCACCTGGCATGCGTGTGGCCTGGGTTCGATTCTCAGCACCACATACAAACAAAGATGTTGTGTCTGCCAATAACTAAAAAAMAAATAAATATTAAAATTCTCAAAAAAAAAAAAAAAAACACAAAACTCTATGTGCTTCAGTTTCTCCAGCTGCAAAGAGGGCATTTTTAAAGCTGCCAGCTGCCGAGCACCATGGTGTATGCTCTAATCCAGCAGCTCAGGAGGCTGGGACAGGAGGATCAGGAGTTCAAAGTCAGCCTCGGCAGCTTAGTGAGGCCCTGAGCAATTTAGTGAGACCCTGTCTCTAAATAAAATACAAAAAGGGAGCTGGGGATGTGGCTCAGTGGTTAAGCGCCCCTGAGTTCAATCCCTGGTACCAAAAAAAATTTAAAAAGCAGACAGCTGTGTGTGCAGTAGGTGGGGGTGGGGAGCCTGCAGGGGAAGGRACATTCTCTTGGCTTGGCACTCGGATGCTTGGACATTGTCTGGGTGGGAGTCCTCAGCAGATGTTGACTTGGGAGGGAGGAGGGTGTGAAACTTTGTCTTCTGCCCWGAAGGGTAAATGGCCTAACTCTCCTCCTGGTGCCTCTCACATTTCAGGGAATCCTGATCACCTGGACAAAGGGTTTTAAGGCAACTGACTGTGTGGGTCACAACGTAGCCACTTTACTAAGGGATGCGATAAAAAGGAGAGAGGTAACTATCAAAAGAACGTTTTAAAAACTCTTTTGGGGGGAGGGGGGTGGATATAAAAACTGCTTGCTTATTGTAAACAATTTGAACAATACAGAAGTTTACGATGTGGGTGATATAAGATCCCCATTTCCTCACCCAACTGCTGCATTGAAACCAGGGTTATAAGTTTTGTGTTGTTAAGAGAGTGGTATTTTTTTAAAAATATTTTTTAGTTGTCCATGAACCTTTATTTTATTTATTGACCTGTGGTGCTGAGAATCTGAACCCAGTGCCTCACACAGGCTGGGCAAGCGCTCTGCCACTGAGCCACACCCGAGCCCAGAGAGGTATTTTTTTAAAGAAAGGTGAAATCATGACTGTCATAAAGAGCTGTCCACAGTGGGGCTTGGCCTGCACTGTCACTAGGACGTGGTGTTCTATTGAACTCAGTGTCCCCGAGTACAAGGCACATTAGGCACAGTCGCCCTGTWGGCCTGACGGATTTAGACAGAGTCATCCATGATCATGTCAGAACTCAGGACATAGTCACAGGATTGCCCCTGCCTCCTGACGGCACCCATTCTAGAACAAAGCCCTAGCAGTTGACTGGTTACTATGCAGCAGTGAACAAGCAGGATGGGAGCCACCCCTGCCCTAAAGCAGTGTCCCTTTTCTTTTCAAAGGAATTCGACCTGGATGTGGTGGCTATGGTCAAYGACACGGTGGGCACCATGATGACGTGTGCTTATGAGGAACCCAGCTGTGAGGTTGGACTTATTGTAGGTGGGTRCTCTGGGAAGCATCAATTCTTGGTCAAGGGAGAACTGGGTTTTTCTTCTCTCTGGCACCTGGACTCAGTAGCTTGGTCCTCGGTTTGGGACAATCTGTCTGTACTGTCCCTTTACCACCTTTAGAGTTCAGTGCTAGACGAAGACCTCAGAGTTCTCTGGAGGGTTATCCCTCCCCAGGACCCCCATGGTGCTGCACATGGATTGTGATAGACCGTTAAGAACGGGGCTTTCCAGAAGAGAGAGTGCAAAGGCCCTGTGGCCTGGGTGGGCAGGGTGGGGTACCTGGCGCTGTCCTGGCTGGCAGGGCAACACTGTTGGGCTGTACGGAGGGGCTCCCAGGAGGTGCAGCAGTGGGAGTCAGACTGGAAAGGAAGCAAAAATCACTTTTTCTCCTGACAATGCTTCCAGCTGGAAAAGGCCAGAGTGGCCTCAGGTGCCATTTTACCCTCAGCAGCCACTGTTAGTGAGGGTCCTTGTCACTAAAGAAGGTTACAGAATGGTTACCTATGGGTTCTGCAGCCTTTTCCCTTGTATTCACACCTGGCAGGGGCCTGGGCCTCAGGAGCTTAGATTTGGGCTGTGAGGAGACCATTTGTCTAGTGGATCTGTTCCTAGTGTGAGAGGGCACTGGGCAGAGGCCCCTCACAGCCAGCATCTGCAGACTCAACTCGGACAGGGAGGAAYGTCTCCCTGCCTTGGGTTCCATTTGCAGAATATCTGGAGTGACCCCATCAGGCCACTCTCCTGTGCCAGGAGGACCTTTTGGCTTCTGTTGAAGTTCAAAAAGCAGCCCCAGRAAAGGCAGGCAAGGGCCTGGCTCAGGGGCTTTATCTCTTCTTTCTTGAGCAAAGCTCCCTCCACCCAGCCCTTCCCTTCCTTCTGCCTGGGGACRGGCTCAGGTAGAACATGCAAAGCTAGGGTGACACAGCACATTCTCCTCTTGCAGGCTGGTCCTCACTTCCTACCTGGGAGCCAGGCCTGTCTAGTTCAGGACAGCTTGGCACCAGCCGTTTTCTTTCCTCCATCAATTGATTGCTCAGAACCCCCGTGGGCAAGTACGTCTCCTCCCCTTCCATTTCTTGGGCTTCTCTGCTTTCTGTTTTATATGTTTTAATGAGAAGCTAAGAAAAAGAACAAACAAACATAGGAATCCAGTAACATCAAGAGTCTGCAGATGCCACTCAAGTTTCTTCAGTGGGGATAAAGGTGAYCTGGCACTTCTGGTTGGCCGGGGGCATATCTGAGTTCACCTAGGTCCCATCTGGGTCATAGGATCCCTACCACTTAGGAGGGGCTGGTTAGAAATGCAGAGCCCTGGGCCCCACCCCAGGCCTCCCAAGTCAGATCCGCATCCTCATAGGCTCCCAGGTGATTCCAGTGCCTATTGAGATACCTTTGGGAAGGACTCCTGGGTTGGTTGGTTTTTAAATTTTCAGTCCAATGACTGTTACCCAAAGCTTGGTCCTTGTTCCCAATGCCAATCCAACAATGAGGACATGATTTTAAGAAAAAAAAAGGACTCCTGTCCCAAAGGCCGGGAGTCTACCCATCATGGGGAACAGGGTGCCCCAAAGTCTGAATTACTTTGTTCCTGTGGTGGGTGTGTGCTTACGGWCAGATAACTGCCTAGGATGTGGAAGAAAGGTAATCTGGTTTTCCCCCGAAATTAGGGAGCAGGAGAGAGAGAAGAAGAGAAAGAAACATGTGCATTGTAAAAATAAGTTGCAGTGTCAGGACAGCAAGGGCTGATTCAGAGCAGGAAGTGGASCAGTGTTCCATTTCCCCATTGTCCATTTCCATATTCCATTTCTAGGGAAAAAGGGTGATGACATCTCTAAGCTGCCTCTTGGTGAGAGAGGGTAAAGTTGGGGGAAGTGACCCAAATTCTTATCAGTTAGAGCATGGACAATTAAGGGTATTCAGCATCCGGGCAGTCCAGAGGGCCATGGTGGCAGTTGATAGACAACTGGACAAGGCATATGTAGGGCAGAGATGATGCTAAGRCACCGATAAACAAGACAGCAAAGCATTACTTTAACAAATAGCACAAAAGCAATTGGTATTTCAGCCAGTCTCTGAAAACCATGAAGACAGTAACTCGTAATCATATCAGTGGAAAAACAGATCAAATTATCTATGTAGGAAATTTGAAGATTTGTAGGGTCTAGGAGATCAGGCTCAAATTGACCCAGGATAAACCTGGGACTCTAGAGTCCTTTGTGATCATTATTTTTAATGAGTTCAATCTCACACTAAGACCCTTCCCTTATAGTTTTCAGCTTTACTTTTGGCAGGGCTGATACAAATATACATCTCCAGTAGGAGTCAAAGATGTTACTAAGTGTCTTCAGTCTGAGATAATCTCTGGTGGTAATATCTCATCTTATGCACAGAGATTTGACCAGCCCCAGTAGGAGTGTGCTTTGGCTGTACTCTCCTGCTAAGTGTTTAAGACCAGGTTGGTTAAAACTGATCTTTTTTCTATCCACTGTTAAGAATCAGCTGAGATTCCTCAGAGATCACTCTTGGGAATGTGTGTGAAGCCTCTTGGCTCCTTTAACTTTTCTCTGCCAGGGATGCCACTTGCCAGGATGAGTCAGGGTCCTGCCKACCACCCGTGGCTTCTCTTGGAAGCCTCAGAGACATTTCCCCCAATGACCCTCCTCTTTGCAGAATGTGCACTGGTTGGCTTCTTTTCTCTAGGGTCCTCTTGATCTCCCTGATGGGCAGATTGAGTGATTCACCAGAGTTGCAGGTCCCATTGTTCTCTGGGTCCTGATTTACCTCAGAGGGCAAGTGCCAAAATATTGGCTGCTTTTTCCTTGGCCCTTTTACTTCCTTGACTTTGGTCTCCAAGTTTTTGGTTTTAAACACCCAGCAGGCTAGTTTCACCAGTCTTAAAGTGGGAGTAACAGGTTATAACTTCAATGTCTATAATTTTATAGTTACCCCTTTGATTTAATTGGAGTTCRTATTAGTACTGGAGGTCAGTATAGTATCCTATCTTGCCTGATGGCTTATTGTCTCAAATACAGGTGGTTCTGTTAGAAGCAATATTTCTGCAAAATACTAACAGGCAACAATTATAAAATTTTCCAAGTAAAATATAAAACAAACACTAATGTAGCTTTGATTTCTGATTAGCCTCTGCAAAAACTCATATTTATCAACTCAATTACATACAAGTTTTACTTTAAAAAAAATTTTTTTTTTTTTGGCTACTAGGGATTGAATTCAAGGGCACTCAACCACTGAGCCAYATCCCCAACCTTATTTTGTATTTTATTTAGAGACAGGGTTTCAGTCAGTTGCTTAGTACCTCACTAAATTGCTGAAGCTGGCTTTGAATTCACGATCCTCTTGCCTCAGCCTCCTAAGTCAATGGGATTACAAGCGTGCACCACCAGGCTCGGCACAAGTTTTACTTTTTAAAAACTCTTTTTACAAATCTAAACACCTTTAAAATTTTACCCAAACCTTTAATTAAATTTTGTATTACATTCCCTGTTTACTTTGAATTCACAGTAATCTTTACAACAACAAAAATCCATTTTTTGAACACAACTTTAAATAAGCTTAATTCTAGCCTACTTCAGAACCATCCCAAAATGGAGAAGAACGAGAAGCAGAGCCTTAACTCAAGCCAGGCTGGCCCCTTGACAAATCTTGAAAAGTGTTTTCTGAATCTGCTCTTTGCCCCTTTAAAAAATATCTTTCTACAAAGTTCTCATRTGTTATTTCCCAAGTCTATCCGAATCAGTTAACATAACACATTACCGCTGAAACATAAACAGAGGTGGAGAGAGCTCTCAACTTCCCTTTGGGGGAAGAGATGACAGAATGTTTTCATATTCCACATTGTCAACCTTTGAATAAATCCGACTCTCCTTATTACCTTCCAAAAGTACATTTAAATTCCCATCCCAGTGTAACACAAAAATTTTATAAATAATTTATTAACAACAGGTTACCTTTAGCCAGTTATAAAATATTCAATGACACAAATACCAACCAAATTTGTTATTTCTTTATAAATCTGAAGGAGATATTGTACAGACAATTTTAGTTTGGAGAATATCAACTTGGTAAAGTGCTCTCCTAAGCTTTAAATTTAACTAAGTTTAACTTTTAATAAAATTTAGAATCTACAATATATGGGAAAGAAAATAATCACAGGTCTGTGTGGGTTAGCAGTATTAGCAAAAATCAAAGGATAGGCGTAAATCTCTTTATATATTTAGGAAACAGAACTAAGGATCAGAAATTGACTTAGTCAAAGCAAACAGATATAAGACAGCTCTTCAAATGGCAGTGTGTCCCTTCTATGTCAGATACAAAGTATAAAAGAGAACACTTATTGGTTACCTTGCYGTAGACTTACATACACTTCATTTTATAACATAAAATGAAACATTATTCATTTATATGAATATGAATGATATTCATTTCATTACTTAACACGTAGACAAGTCTCATACAAACATAGTTCTCAGATGTATACATATACCTAGTCCCATATACTTAGGGTGTCAACTATATTGTTATAACCTAAAATAACAGTTGTTTATGTAACCAGGTATAACGTAATCATTTAAAAGACTTTAAAACAGGTACAGACCCTAATTCCTTTAAGATTTAGTTTCCCTAAGTAACAACACCTAACAGATACAAGAAATTATCTTGACAGATGAGAGCAGATCAGTATTGCAGACCTTGCTTCTTATCCGTTTGAGATTTACCTTCCGCACTGACTTAGACATTCACAACTTGTTTCTGTTCTTGGGTTTGTCCTGTTTTTCTTTTTGGACTTTAGCATAAGAATATTACTTTACCAGACAAAATACTTTTTTATCCTGAAACATTTCCTTTACCTTTGACTTTTTCATACTAAAAGATATTTCCACACCTCTGACTTTCTTAACGTCTCTTTTTTTAGTTTCAGACCCTTTCTTAAATTCATATTCTGAAACAGTCCTTATTAATGTTATCTGTGACTTAATTCACACAACAGATTTCATCCCAGGAGAGGGTTGGACCATCTGCCCTATACAAAAACTGTGCCTGAATATTATTCCCCCCAGGTGGCATCCAGAGAGTTGGAGCACAGGAGAGTTTTRACTCTGACCTGTGTCCCTTATTAGGATCACAGTGCCGTCAACGTTAAGTGAGTTCCCCAGTCAGTTGTACCCGGAACCTCCTTTTAGGCCCTGTTCTTACGCGAGGCCTATTGATATCAGTGGAGGAGGCCCTTCCCRCCCTTTTCTTTAGCCTTCCTTGAAGATCCCTGGGCAAAACACAGTTGGGGTTTTTTTGATGTTGTTTTTTTTTTCTTTTCTTTTCTGCATGCAGTTGTGTACCAGTCTCCCCGGGCATTTAGTTTGATGGGATACAGTTATAGCAAGAATTGCTCTGCCCCAGTGACGGATATCCCCTGGCCAAATGGGGTGTCCTGTCAGATCTGAAAAGGGGAGGCTCCTCCTTGTCCCTAGGTCATAAACAGTGCTGGAACCTACTGCCACATCCTTTGTGGCCAGCAGCCTCCGCCCCCGTGGGCAGAAGGGGCTGGAAGGCAGGGCAGAGGCCAGGCTGTCTGTGGCCCCTCTTCTACAGCCCAGGCAGCTTTCCTGGGATTTYCCCCCCCAGCCCAGGGCTGGTGTCCCCGACCCACATGGAGATGACCTGGGGCTGAGAAACGGTGCAGGGAGTGCCGGAATTGGGTTTAAAGGATTTAAGYCTTCTTAAACCTTTTCTCCTGTGTCCTGCTGTCCTTGCACACCAGAGGAAGTGCTTTCGGGATCCAAATTAGTTCCTGACCGTTCAGGCTCCTTATCGTGCAACTGCATAAATGCCTGTGCACACCGAATCTCTTGCCTATCCTTTACCCACTGACAGACCAACTCCAACTGCAAGATAGTATAATAATCCAGAAAACCATTCAAAGGCCAGATTGTGTTACAGTAAAGCATCTTTCTCTTAGACAGGCTTATACCTATCAGTGACCAATTCAACCAAGATTTCTCTTCTCAGGAGACTGCAGGTAAGATCTGTGCAGTATGGCCCATGTCTTAAAGGGCCAGTAACATACAAAAACATAGAGCCAGACAAAAGAGGATCACCCTAGCCATGGCTGACAGACGGGAACCTTTAAAACAGATAGGCTGGGGCTGGGGATGTGGCTCAAGCAGTAGGGCGCTCGCCTGGCATGCGTGCGGCCCGGGTTTGATCCTCAGCACCACATACCAACAAAGATGTTGTGTCCGCCATAACTGAAAAATAAATGTTAAAAAATTCTCTCTCTCTCTCTCTCTCTCTCTCTCTCTCTCTCTCTCTCTCTTTAAAAAAATAAAATAAAACAGGCCTGCACATAAAAATTTCTTCCACTTACTTTACCTCTGACAGACCAACTCCATCTGCAAGGTCATAGAGAAATTCAGAAAGCTGTTAAAAAGCTATTCAAACAATTAGATTGTTACAGTAAAATATTATCTTTTTCCTAGGCAGGTTTATACCTATAGGTGGCCCTCTCTTCCACTTACTTTACCTCTGACAGACCAACTCCAATTGCAAGATTGTACAAAAAAGAAACAGACAACCAGAAAGGATTCCCCAAACCATACCTGACACACAGGAACCTTTAAACCAGACATACCAGCCAACATCTTTACCAAGAGACTTCCTGTAGGACCAGCACAGTATTGCCCATGTCTTCAAAGTGGCAGTAACAGATTCAAAGAAAAACACAGACAATTAGAAGGAATTCCCAAAACCAAGGCCAACAAACAGATAAGAAGCTAGAACAGACCAGAAGGGAGTAGATATCCCTAGGTTCTCAAGTCCCGCTTAACCATGACTCCTGTACCAGTGGCACCACAGATGTCCCTACCAAGAGGAAACAGATGTGTGGAATCAAGGATCTGGTGTGTACGCTGGGGGACTGAACAGAGGGCCAAGGGTGCTGCGACTACTTGAGTTCACTTTCCTTTTTCTCAAAGTGGACCAAGATGAAACAACCTGAGAGAAGGCAGGAGTTCTCCAAAGCAAAATGAGCTTTGGCAGCTGCTGGCATAGTCCTTCAGTCCCTTGCTCTAGTCACCAGCTCCTCTGGTTCGACCCGAGCCATATTACCTGTCTCCTCACCCTCCTTGCACTTGGTGCTCAACCAGTTCTCCAGCCRCCTTGCATCCTCAGAATGGACATGGGGTTGCTTGGAGAGCTGGGCCTGCCCAGAAGGCTGGAGTGGGGGCTGCCTTCCCCAGATTTGTTACCGAAAGCTCAGTCCTCATCCCCAGTGCCAATCCAATAACAAGGGCACAGTTTTAAGAAAAAGGAAAGAGAAGATTTATTGCTTTACTAGCAAGGAGAAGCACAGGGGACTCCTGTCCCAGAGGCTGCTGATTCTGCCCATCTGGTTTTTAAAGAGGTGACTCAAAGGCTACATTCCATGGTTCTGTGTCCAGAGCTGTAATTCACTTGTTAGTTAGATCTTCTAGCACCATCTCCAAGTCTGAATTATTTCATTCCTATAGTGGGTGTGTACTCAGGGACAGGGAACTCTGCCTAGGATGGGGAAACAAGGTAATTCTGTTTCCCTTGAGATTAGGGGGCGGGGATTAGGGAGGAGCCCGGAGAGAGGTAGAGAAAGAAAGATGTCCATTTAAAAAATAAGTTGCAGTGACAGAGCAGCAAGGCCTAATTCAAAGCATAAAGTGGACCCTCTGACATGACCATGAGCCTGGGTATGTATCATGGCAATTAAAACTGCTATGAATGTGTCCTCTCAATTTCTTTACTTGGCTCCTTGTGGACTGGCACAGAAAACCATCTGTGGTCCCACCCCAGTTTTGCATGGCCACTCYGAGTCACCCTGCTCTAGGGAGTTGAGGAGTGGAACCCAGAAGCCCCTGAGCCCTGGAAACCGAATGTCCGATGGCATGAGTGCATTTGTGGGAACACTCAGAGCTGTTCCTTCATCTCTGCGTCATCATCAGATTTTTCAGAAAGGTACCAAAAAGTAAAGAACCATTGCGTTAGAAAGTTGGGCTGCCTTCTGAAGTGTGTGGAGAGCTTGAGCAGGCAGAGCCCATCCTGCCAGGAAAGAGGAGTAGACACCTCAGGTGTGGGAGTCAGCCGGCCCCCGGGTGTCACATGTGTACGTAGATGTGTGTATGTATGTGTACACACATTTTTTTCTTCAAGCTACCACCTAAACTTGCACCTTTGGAGATACATTCCTTTGTTGGAAGACCATCTTCTATTCACATAAATATCTCCTTGTCTGTGCAGGTCAACACGTGAGGCTCTCRACTTAAAGTGGGTTAGCAGACGTTTTCTAGGTGGTTTAACTCAGATACTCCATTTGTGTCTTGTATCTTTTCCTGGAAAACATTGGGAAAGCAAAGGTATTGCTGTGTCCATCTCAAAAACGTACCCCTTATCTGTGGACTCCCAGGTTCCAGGCCTCAGGCCAGTCGCGAGACCCTCCACTGGTCTTGGGTGGCATCGCCATTCATTCCCACCCTTGTGTGTTACAGGGACTGGCTGTAATGCCTGCTACATGGAGGAAATGAAGAATGTCGAGATGTTGGAGGGGACTGAAGGGCGAATGTGCATCAACATGGAGTGGGGTGCCTTTGGCGACAACGGGAGTCTGGATGATATTAGAACAGAGTATGACAGATTGGTGGATGAATACTCTCTAAATGCTGGGAAACAAAGGTAACTGCCAGGTGGAGGTGGTCCCTAAGGGCCGGGTGGGGAGGGGCTGGCGATATTCCACGGCAGTGGAAGAGGTTTCTAGTAGAAGTAAGTTCTGGACAGAAGCTTGGAGTCTGGTCCCTTTGATACTCCTGACCTTGACATTTGGCCTATGGACAGCAGAGGACCTGGGAGGATGAGCCCCTGATAGTACAAGATGGTCCCAGAGTAGGCCCAGAGGATAGATGACAGCTGACACACCACTGCCTCATGACCTGTGTAGGCCTGCACGAGTTTGGCTTTCCCCTGCATTTCTCCCCCTTCAAAAAAATATATGGGGGTGGAGCAGTGGGTCTGGGTTGAGGCAGAGGCCCTTCCGGGTTCTTCCTTCTGGAACCCTGTGAGTCTCCATCGCCACCTAGTGGCCATGTGGAGCTTGCAGCTCAGGTTTCAGGGACCTGGTCTGAAATGGCAGAGAGTCTGCTTGGAAATGAGATGAATGACCTTTTGTCTCAAGCCCCCAAGAACCAGTCTGTTCAAGTTGTGTCCCCGGAAGCGGAAAGAAGGGTTGGATAGCACCTCCCAACATAAGTTGGTCCCCTGCCGCTCTCAAGGTTTTGCCTTTCCTGAATACTGCCTAGGTGTGATTCACTTAGAGTTTTATTTGTTTGTTTGTTTCCTCTAGTGCTGGGGATTGAATCCAGGAACATTCTGTCACCGAGCTATATCCCCAGTCCATTTTACTTTATATTTTTTATTTGATTTTGAGACAGAGACTCACTAAGTTGCCCAAGCTGGCCTTGAGCTTGTCATCCTCCTGCCTCAGCCTCCCAAGTAGCTGGAATTACAGGTGTCTCCATCACACCACCACACCTGGATCATTTAGTGTTTTTTTTTTAAAAATCAGCTTATATTCTTAAATTTAATGGTGAAGCAGAGAAAGGTAAAACCAGTATTGCCCTAAGTAAATGCTAATCGTGGAATGAAGGTAGGGAAGAACTGTTATTCAGGTCTAGCTAGTTCTCATGCTCTGCTAAAGCCTCTAAACCAAGACCGCCTTTGTTGAAAGGTGATCAGCAAGTGTTAGCAGGGCTCAAAGACACTTCAGCAGTAAGCTGAGATTGTCCCTTTGATGCAGTGAGAAGGGCTGGATGGGGGCCGTGGTGATACCCACACTCTCTGCCATTCTCTGCTGTTCCACATTTTTTCTGTGGACCACATGAAATCTTCCCAAGTATTCTGGAATATCCAGCTTCTCAGCTTGGGGATCCTGGGCCTGGGTGTGTGCCATGGAGGCATCTAAATCCCTGGTCATTTCTTGAGGCCCTTGAACCTGGAAAGGGCAGGAAATTAAAAGTCCCAAGAACAGGGTGACCTCGAGTATTGTGGCCACTGAATTCTCCCACCTGTGTGGCTTATCACGCTGCTGTGTGCTTGACCAGCACTGTGCCATTTGCAAAACCTTTAGAAAACTGAGGGATTTTTCCCTCCGTGGTCCTCTTGTCCCTTTAAGGCTCCGTCCAGTCACGTGCTTGTTCTGCAGCTTTGTACTGAGCACCAAGCTGAGGGCTTGGCATGGTGCCGCGCTGTGCCCTGGGGACTCAGAGCTGAGCAATATGCACACTCCCTGTCCCTCCTAGGCGGTGGGCCTGTGTCATTGTGGAGAAGGAGAAGGGCGAGGTGCAGGGGAGCCTGGCATAGGCAGGTAGAGCCAGTCTGGGGGGCATGACAGGCCTCTCCTCCAGGACATGGCATCTGGCTGAGATTCACTCAGGCAAGCACAGGAGGTCAGCAGGGAGGGTGCCCACCGAGCAGCGAGGCATGAATGCTGCGGGGTGGTGTCTGATGTGGAGAAGGGTGGAGGGTTCCTTGGTCCTTCCTGGTCTTTGCCTCAGCTGGGGAGCACAGGGCAGGTGTGCGACCCAGAAAGACCGTGAGAGCAAGGGCTCCTGGGAAGGACACTGCAGCCCCCTTCCTCCTGTGGCAGGTATGAGAAGATGATTAGTGGTATGTACCTGGGTGAAATTGTCCGCAACATCTTGATCGACTTCACCAAGAAGGGATTCCTCTTCCGAGGGCAGATCTCTGAGCCGCTGAAGACCAGGGGCATCTTTGAGACCAAATTTCTCTCTCAGATTGAGAGGTGAGTGGGGATGGTTTTCTACCACCATTTGACCGTGAGATGGAGAGACTCCATTTCTCCCAGCCTCGGGCTCCTCATCTTTCAAGTGGGAATAATCCGACATTTAGTGGCTAGTGGAGGACTAAACGATGTCATGTGTGGAGTACATGTCACAGAGTGAATCCTTTAAAAAGAGACTGACTGGCCTATCATCACCATCATTGTCATTGTCATCTCTAGCAATTTAATACAAATAAGACAAATATACCAGGAGAAGGAAAAAAAAGTTGGGGAACACATCAGGTAGTCATGGCCAATACACAAACAGGGAACAGTCCTCCTCCTGCTTACTAGAGAAGAATGCAAAGGAAACCGGGTGGCAGTGACCTTAGGAAATGGTCAGAAGGTTTGAAAGTACCCTTTTCTTCTGAGGACACTTGTGGCCGAATATCGTACTGGCTGGAGAGTGAGCTGACATAACTTTCTGAAAGACATCTGCCCATGGGTATCAAAAGCCCTTGGACCCAGAAATACATCCTAAAGGGGAAAAAAAAAATCAGAGTCACACACAAGATTTATAAACAAGAAATTTCATCAAAACGTTCCTTTATCATTGCAGACAGTTGCAAATAGCTTTCTCCAGACCAGCGCACACTTGGCGCACACTTGGAGGGGAGCACTCTGGCCACCATTCCCAGTCCTGTTCTCAGATAGGACTGTGGGGAGTTGCTCATCAGTCTCACCCGGGAATAAAAGTCGGTCCCCGGCTGCAGGCCCTGCTTCATCCAGTCCCCTGGCTTTTTCTGTTCGCTGCAGTGACCGGTTAGCGCTGCTCCAGGTCCGGGCCATCCTCCAGCAGCTGGGTCTGAACAGCACGTGCGACGACAGTATCCTGGTCAAGACGGTGTGCGGGGTGGTGTCCAAGAGGGCTGCGCAGCTGTGCGGGGCGGGCATGGCGGCCGTGGTGGACAAGATCCGGGAGAACAGAGGGCTGGACCATCTGAACGTGACGGTGGGCGTGGATGGGACACTCTACAAGCTGCATCCGCAGTGAGTGGGGCTTGGGGGGGGAGCGGGGGATGGTGGAGGGCGCTGGAGGGCGAGTTCCTGAGTCCCCTGGAGGATGACAGGTTTCAGGGTGTGGTTCCCGTCTGGGAAACTCCTCACTGGGCAGGGCTGCCTGCCACTGTGAGTGTGGGGACAGGGCAGGGGTGGGGGGCGGGGGATGAGCACCTCTAGGGTTTGCGGTCCCGGGGAAGGGAAGAAGGTGCTTACTTGACCCCCTCACACAGTGGCTGGCGGGCGTGACCCCCTCCCTGCTCTCCCAGGCTCGCTGAGGAGTGGGCAGGGTGGCCTTGCCTGCTCAGCCTGGCTAGGGTCGGCTTGGCTGGGAAGCTGTGCTTGGTGAGTCCAAAGAGGAAATGGAAGAGGGAGGAGGGCCCATTGTCTGGTTCACTTGCCAAATCAAACTGGGAAGGGCAGGTGCAGCGCTGGCCCTGGACTCTGGGACAGGGAGGGGCCCAAAGTGACCTACTTTGGGTGAAGTGTCTGACACCTCATGCCAGAGAAGGACCTGCTCTTTGATCCACTGCGTGTTCCAAAGCTTGGCTCTTAGGAATAGAGTGGCCATGCCTAAACTGGGGGTGCCTCGATCAGTGCGAGTAACACTGCTCCTAGTATCTCGGGACCCTCGGCCACCTGGGCCTTAGGGGCACCCTATTCTAAAACACCTCACTCAACACCCCGGTGAGATTACCCGCTTACCTCAGGCCTGTGGCTGGGGTGAAGCCATCTGCCGAGCTCCGTCCTCACCTGTCTCTCCGCCTTCTTAGCTGCCCTCACCGTCACCAGAGGCAGCACCCGGGGAGTGGTCTGGGCTTAGTGGCTGTGTACACTTGGATTTGACCTTGGCTTCACCTTTCAGAGGCCATGCTCCATTGCTTAATCTCTGACAGTTCCTATCTCCGTCCCATCTTCCTGGTGGCGTAATAGCCACTGACAGGGCTGGAAGTCCCGTCTTTGAAGTATGGGGCACCTAGGAGGTACTCAATAAATGGGACTTCCCCTGAGAACCCCGTTGTCCCCAACATCCTCAGCCTGTCCTGTCTTTCATGTTCAGCACAAAACATAAATGCCTAGAGTTACCTCACTTAGAGACTGTCCCTTCCTGGGGTGCTGCCTCTCTTGGCTGCAGGTGCTGGGTGGATGGCCGCTGGGACAGGGACGTCTGTTCCCAGGTAGCCTCCTGAACTAGCCAGCACTTGGCCAGCTGGGGCTTGCCCGAGCGGTCCCTGCCGGGCCTCAGCCTCCTTTTGGGCCTTCAGGTTCCCCAGGAGCCCCAGGCTCTGGGATGGGGGTTCCCTATGCCCTCGGCCTCATAAACTGTCAGGAGTCGCTCCTTTGGGGATGCTCAGTTGTGCCTCCTTCTGGAAGTCGTGGTAACAGGATTGGCGGTGTCGCGCTCTCCTCCGTCAGCTGTGGCTACTTTAATCCGCCCCCGCCCTCCTGATTTGGGGTGCTTTCCTGATTTCAGGAGGACCAGTGTCCCTTCGTCTCCTTTCCCACCGCTTACATTTTCCTGATTTGATTTGATTTGATTTTGTTTTTGTCTTGACCAGCTTCTCCAGAATCATGCACCAGACGGTGAAGGAACTGTCACCAAAGTGTAACGTGTCCTTCCTCCTGTCTGAAGACGGCAGTGGCAAGGGGGCCGCTCTCATCACAGCCGTGGGTGTGAGGCTCCGGGGAGAAATGAGCTAAGGGCACAGGCCCCGCCCGCTGCCCGTCCAGCACTTGTCTCTCAAAGCCACGACCCCCCTGCTCCTCTCAGCGAGCCKCGCTGGGAGCCCTCAGCGCCAGAGCCGCCCCCCGCAGCGGGGAAGGAAAGCAATCCAACGAACGGCGCCTGTCGTCGGGTACAACCTAGAGCGTGTGCTGTTGACATCTCTCACCTGGACCCTCACCTGCCCCACCACTCTGCATGATTTGATCTCCACCTGGTCGTGCATCCCCTCGTGTGAAGTGTAGCCGCACCCATTCCTCCCGCGGGCGCCCATCCATTTCAGATGAAAAGTCGCCCCATCAGACGGGCCCTGTGGCCTCCAAAGCCCGTCCTCGGGGTCGCCTCCCCTGCGTGAAGTGGATTATCACCAGCAGTCACTGCCGGACTCTTCCCCCGGGCCCGGGGCCCAGCTTGAAGGGCGAGTGTGGACGCCGCGTGACCGCTATCTCCCGTCCCCGCCACCCACTGTGGCAGCCTGGCGGTCCCATTGGGGGATGTGTCGATGCCACTAGACGTGTGTGTGTGTGTGTGTGTGTGTGTGTGTCCATGGAACGGGTCCTCGCCGCACTGTGACAGTCTTGCATTCTGTTGATCTCGTGGGGGGGGAGGTGGGAAGTCCCGTGGGAAAGTGTCTTGTCTCCATTTGGGTAAAAGGAACCGACCCACAAGCAGCGCCATCACTGGAATTTCCCATCGCTTTTGTGAGCCATGTTGTATGACCTAGTAAACTTTGTACCAATTCAAAAAGCTGAGTGATGCTTGGTGGCTGGGGAGAGGGGAGGAGACCTGGGGGGTGTGGCAAAAGCCAGATGCTGGGGGATATTTGTGACTGTCTGGGTGGGCCAAGAGTCTAAAATAAAGATCACGGTCTTTGGCGCCCAGCCTGGGTCTGGCATGAGGAATTCTGTCGTGTCCCTGCAAACCATCACAGAAGTGGCCCTCTCCCCTGGTCTCCGGCATCTGCTCTGTCAGTGCCTCAAGTCCTGGCATCCCACACCCCTTCCGCAGGGCTGGCAAAAGGGAGGACTCTGGTCTCCCGTCCTCCACGCCTGTTAGAACAAAGGAAAGGGGTACTTGGCCTCCAGGGGCTGTGGGGTCCTTCCCTCTGCCCCCTGCTCACATGCACCTGGAGTCTGGAGGCAGCCAGGGAGGCAGGGTGCTGTGCTCCCTCCTTGAATCCCATCTGTAGGAAATTGGCCCTTTTCTGACCCGTCTACCCCCATCTATCCTCAGGGGGTTGTTGTCAGGCCCCAGGGCTGCCATCCATCATAGATCCCTCCCACACCCTTGGGTGGATTTCACGCCAAAGCATCCAGGGTGCTGAGATGTCCCATCTGCAACTAGGAGTCCGAGTGGCTGCCCAGGACCGCCTGCAGGCTCACACGGCTTGGTGAGATCAGAGTCCTTTATTTGGGGCACCAAAGGAGCCAGTGTCTGCCACAGTGATCCCTGGGGAGCACACAGGTGACTTAGACTCTGGGTGTACATTGCAGTGTGATCTGGCTCTCCAGAGGGCGCTGGGCGTTGGCGGTGAGTCAGCAGGTGGGAGAGGTGCCCTGTGGGCCAGGCCTAATGCCTCTGGACAGTTGATGTCTGCCGCAGAGCAATGGTGGGGGCTGACCTGTAGGTGGTGCTCATGTGAAGCAGCTGGTGTGGGAATRAGAAGAACCAGGGCTGCCTTTCACCTGGCACTGATTCTATGACTTTCCCCTGCAGGTGATTTTGCCACTGGGCAGAGGAAGAGGCTGAGGGTCAGAGTGACTTGCCCAAAGCAACTCAGCAGAGGTCCCATTGGATTTAACCACCCTCTACTCTGGGCTGTATCTGAGTTCTTTTGATTCTGAGACAGAGAAGCCAGCCCTGGGTCCACTTACAGCTCATGGCTTTGCAAAAATAAGAAGACTTCTTCCCTGTGTCGTGGGCCTCGTAACAAATCAGGGTCATGGTCATGTGCTGCCCCAGATGAGTTTTGTTTCCTTACCCAATGTTTATAAACACTTGGGTGAGCCACATTTAACAGGTCTAGAAGTTTCACATGCAAATTTGGATTTCCAGCTTTTCTTGAAAGATGTACCGACAGTGGGCTCCCATCACATCCCCACATGACAGTTGTCCCAGGGGGTGACACCTGGCCCTGGATCCAGGCACGAGGCTTCAGAGTTCAGCAGGCTTCCCCTCTTGGGGACCTCCACCCAGCCTTCCCCCTGGGAACTTCAGAAGGGGCCACGTCCCCGGCCATGAGCAAAATCTCTTTCGTGTGACACCTCTTGACCCTCATGGAAAGGGATGGAGTGGGAGTCAGCTCTAGTTTATCTTCCTCGGTTGGAGTGACCCACGGGCAGCACCGGAAAGCAAGGCGGAATCCAGAGCGGAACCTGGGGAACGGAGGGTCAGCTTTAGCCAGGGAGTTAGGGTACAGGGGCTGTCGCGTGACTTCTCCCAGCTCCGGGTGACTGTCTGGGGGAAAGTTGCTGCCTCTGAAGGGCCCACCATTCCCATCGCTCAGGGGTTCTTGAGAGATGCATTTTTTTTTTTTGGAGGGGGGCACTAGGGATGGAACCCAGGAACACCTTACACTGAACTACACCCCCAGCTCTTTTACACTTTATTTTGAGGCAGAAACTGGCTGAGTTTCCCAGCCTGGCTTTGAACCCTCACTCTTCCTGCCTCAGCCTCCCAAGTTGCTGGGATTATAGGTGTGCAGTACCACCCCTGACAAGAGATGCATTCTTCAATGGATTTGATTTTAGGACACAGCCATAAATATTCTGGAGTTTAATCTAGTGACCGAAGTGGGTGAGGAAGCTGACTTAGACGATTTGTTATTACAAATGAAAAGAAACAATGATTTAAAAGAATCATGGATTTTCTTGCTTGTCTTATATAAACTGTCTTCTAAAGTAGTATTCAAAGAAAGGTTTAAGAAATTGGGGCTCTGGCCATGCTGATGGACTAGGGGTGCCCTTCCCTGTGGGCTCCTATGAAGAAAAAAGTTGGGGTCCATAAGCTTAAAAAATGACTCTCCCCCACAGCAGCACTGAAGTGCCAAGCTTAAAGTGGAGCTCGGAGGAAGCAGATTGGTGAGTGGAAATGGGTTGGCAGAAAGAATACTGGAGGCTTAGGGCAGAAATAAGGAGAACCCCGTGCAAGCTGTGCGAGAGCGCGGAACTGCACCGTCCCTTCCTGAGCTGCAGGGCTCCCTGTCCTGGAAGAGCCGGCCTCGCTGGGGATCCTCTTCGTGCAGCTCCATGGTGTGGCCTGACAAGTGCCTATTTGCAAGCCTGGTGGCCTCTAACTTACACCCACATCCAACCCAGCTCCCAACCGTCCTCCCCTGCCCTCCCCCTGCYCTCCCCCTGCAGTCTTCCCCAGCTCAGCTCCTGATAGCTCTCAACTTCTGACCACCCAGGCCAAGAACTTGTTGAGAGTCATCTTTGACTTCTTCTCACTGGTGACCTCCTGTCCCTCAAACTCCATTGGCAGCCTGGCGCTCTGGCGCACATCTAAGATCCCAGCAGCTCGGGAGGATCACAAGTTCAAAGTCAGCCTCAGCAATTTAACAAGGTACCAAGCAACTCACTGAGACCCTGTCTCTAAATAAAATACAAAAGAGGGCTGGGGATGTGGCTGGTTGAGTATCCCGGAGTTCAATCCCTGGTACCCACCACCCCCCAAAAAATTCCATTGGCAATATCCAGACCCTGACCACATCTCACCCCAGTTGAAGCCATCTTTTAGCTGGATCAATGCCAAAGCCTCCCTGAAGCCTTTCCCTTGGCCCCTCCCCTTTGGTATAGTTCCAGTGCAGTGCTAGACTGAGTCTTCCAAAATGTCGGAGCATGTGTCTCCCCTGCTCAGAGTCCTGTGGTTCCCCATGTTCAAGTACAAGCCCAAGTCCTGACCTTGACCCCAGGGCCGTCCTTCAGTTGTTCCTTCTGCCTGGAACACTTGTCGAGTCTGCAGGACTGACTTGATCCTTCCCATTTGCCAGATGCAAAAAGCATCGGGGGCCTCAAAGTCCTTGAGCACCTGGGAGCTCAGGTCTGCGTGTGTGATGGGGCAAGGCTCTGGGGAGGAGTTGGAACTCTATCTAGGGGGACCTGGAGGGTGACATCCCACCTAGATGGGAGGGGAGGGGCTCAGGCAGGGACAAGGTGGAGGTTCATTTGTGCAGGGGACCCGAAGGGGCTGTCCCTGGCCTGGGATCAGAAAGGACCTGGTTCTATGGCACTCACCTGTGGTTGAGGCTGCAGTAGATGATGGGGTTGTACATGGTGGAGCTCATGGCCAGCCAGAAGAGCGCCAGGTACACCTGCTGGATGAACTTATGGCAGTAGATGTCCTCCCGGAAGTTGCCCAGGATGAAGTAGAGGTGGTAGGGCAGCCAGCAGATGGCAAATGTCACCACCACCAGCACCATGGTCTTCACAAACTGCTCCAGAAGAGCATCAGGTCACTCCTCAGCCCCTGAGTCCCAAGCGCTAACCCTCCTAGGGCATGGGGGGAGGCCCTCCGTGATCAGACAGACCTCTCTCTTCTGCCTCCACCTGGAGCTGCTGCCCAGATCTCCTGAACCCCCACCTCAGGGTCTGCACTCTTCTGCTCAACTGCTGTCCTGCCTTTAAAGCCATACTCCTAGAAGCCAGCCCAACGAGGTGACCTCAGGGGCCTCTCCTGCTTGGAGAGGAGGAGCTCACTCCTAAGCCCACCCTTGATGGGGGCTGTACCAGCTCTGAGGTCCCAGGCTCCTGTTTCCCTGGGATCTGTGTCTGTCACTGAGCTCCACCCAGAGTCCTCCACCTCTGCCTGGGGACCAGGTCCCTTGCCACCAACCCCCAACACCTGGCCTCTGCAGGCACACCCCAAAAGGGATGAGGCCAGCTAGGGGTGGCAGATGGAGACCAACACCTCGCAGGTTGCGGGGAGAAGGGGCACCATGGCAGCTCTCTAACCAGAAGCCACACTGCCATCCAGTTTCTAGATCTCCAGGTCTGCAGGTTCAGCCTTTAGGGACTCTCTGAGAGCCCAAGGCACCTCCCTGTGTACTTCCGGGGCTTGTCTGAAAATCAACATTCCAATTATTCAACATGCTGACATGTTAGCATTCTGTTATTCTGAGATTCTTGGAGGGATCTGAAATTCTGTGGGCTTCAGGACTTCCTGATCCCCCAACCTTCCAGAAGTTCCTTCCAGTTTGTATTTGTCCAAAGACCAAAGGCCAATCCACCTGCCAGGGACAAAGGATGCTCTCTCCCTCCCTAGACGTGCCATGGCAGGGTCCTAGGCCCTCATTGGCTGGTTCTGAGGGTTCTGAGATGGCCAGGGTGACTCCTAGAGGTGGCCACATCCCGCCCCTGGGGCCTACCTTCTTCTTGGCCTGCAGGTGGCGCAGGTTGGCACCGTGGACCTGGTGTCGTGGGACAGCGCGCCTCCAGAGTGTGAGGCCAATGATGCTGTAGGCAATGAACATCACCAGGAGGGGCAGGAGGTAGATGAGRGCGATCACCACCAGGTGGTACCTGGAGTGGAAGCCAGGAGTTTGGACAGTCAGTGGCCGGTAGTGACTCCCATGTCTGCCGGTGCTCATTGGGGGGACTCTGTGGCCCTCACCCTGCACCACCTGTTGCCCCCCAACCCTGGTTTGATTTAAAGAAAAATAAATGCAACCTTGGCTTGTGCCAAAAGAGGGCTTCTCCTGCAAAAGGGTCACCAGCATTAGCCCCACAAGCTTCATGTGACAGACAAGTGCTTACCAAAAAAAAGGAAATAGAAGCAAAAAAAAGTTAACAATCTGTTTAAAATGTAAAACACTATTAGGCTGGAAGGAGAAAGCCAAATCACTTGTCTCACTCCCATCACTATTTACACTTTGGGCGGGGCGTGGTGGTGCACACCTATAATCCTAGCCACTTGGGAAGCTGAGGCAGGAGGACCGCAAGTTCAAGGTCAGCCTCAGCAACTTAGCGAGGCCTTAAGCAACTTAACCAGATCTTGTCTCAAAACAAAAAAATAAAAAGAGCAGGGGATGTGGCTCAGGAATTGAGTGCCCCTTGGGTTCAATCCCCAGCATTAAAATAAAACAAAATTAAAAAACACCAACTTGGTATAGTTTCTTCCTGAAGTGCATGTGTAGGTCTGTATGTGTATGTCCATGTGCGTGGGGGTGCGTTTATGCACGTGTCCATATTTGTTAGAGAGACCATGTATCTACCCTACGTCCAAGTGGATGTAGAGGACGGCTGGCGTTAAGAAGGTGCCACCCTATCCCCGCATCCCTATCAAGTCACACACCATCGCATCATCTGCTTCCTGCTCACCAGCCTTCTTTTGGGCACAATGCTTGTGTCAGCAAACACCCCTGAGCCCACCTTTGAGCAAGTGGCCCAGAACACCATTGCATGGCTACCCACCCAGTCCCCAGAAAGACACCCAGATTGTGCTGACTTTTCATTTCCTTTGGGAAAGAAGACAGTGTCAAGGAGCTGTGTGTCCCTGCAGGCTGAGGGCTGACCCCCAGGCAGGGCTGCAGAGGGGCTTCTTGGAGCATCCCAAGCCTTAGACACCCCCCCCCATCCTGCCAAGTGCCTTTTCCCTTTCTAACTAGAAAAGCTGAGAGGATCCCAAGCCCCGCCTCCACCCAGCATGTGCCAGCCGTGCAGGGACCCATGTAGGAGGCTCCACCAGCCTGAGGGAGGGAGAAGGTGGCTCCGACAAATCTCTTGTAAAGCATCGTGTTTAGAATTTCACTTGCTTTCCTTGGACAAACGTGTCAATCACAAAAGGTATGGGGACACCTAGGTGCCCTGATTCCCTGGTAGGACCTGGGTGTAAGAGCCCCATCACTGAGCAGGTAGGAAGGGAGAAGGAGCAGCCTGGGCCGGGTTTCTGTCCCCCTACAGAGTGTCTAAGCGAGAAGGACCCTGAGAACCAACAGGGCCACCTTGCCTCAGTGTCCAGATGGGGGACACAGAGTCTCAGAGAAATGCAGGAAGTATGTTTCATAGGAATCAAGACTTCATCAAGACCCAAACCATCTCCGTTTCACCGAGGCTGTAGGAGTCAGAATGGGGCTCTAATCGAAAGCATGATCTTGGCAAGTCAGGTTTCTCCCTCAGCCTCAGTTTCCTCATCTGTCAAGTGAGCAGGTAACCTCTGTCCTTCTCATGTGTGAGCAACATTCTATTCTTTTCCAGGGACATAGTTCAGGATAGGAATTCACCCTGGGCTAGGTCCCCATGCAGAAGGGAGCACTGAGGAGTGTTGAGGATACCTTCTAGAATCTGCCCAAACCAGGGAATCTGTTCTTCTTGAATCTGAATTTTAGGGGTAAATGTGTATTTCCTGGAGCCAGCACCTGTACCTTCATCTGATTCCTACACTCACCCAGGTGTGAGCCTGTGAGGATAGAGCCCCAATCTCAATTTACATCAGAGGCTGCCCCCAACACACTTATTCTCACACAGAATCAGGTTTCCTGAAATCCCCATCAAAATTCCAGTAACACCAAAGTACCCCTTTCCCAGCCCACCCCTGTGCTCTTCTTACTTTTCCCTGTTGCCTGGATCGGGGCTGGAATTCACCATGCACAGAGGGTGGGAGCAGGGTCCCTTCAGTTCTTACTGGCTCCCCTTTCAAGGARAAAGTCCCCATTAAAATGGAGAAATACTGCCCCCAGTGGCCAGTTCCAAAATACTCTGCTCTCTACCCCTCTCCTTCCCCTCCATGGATGCAAACTTCAGGGACCAGTGGGGTGCAGGGCAGAGGCAGAGAGACCCTGGACAGGGCCTGCCCTCAAGGCCAGCAGTCCCCAGTAGCAACCTTATTGTTGGGATGGTGTCTTCTGTGGCATGGAATGACCCTCTTCTGGAAGGTGCTCAGGAGAGATGGGGCCCAGGGAGGGGTGGGTATTGGAGAAGGAGTGTTAAAGGAGACGGGATGGGGACTGTGTTGCCATGGTTACCAGGAAGCCATCAGCTAAGAGTGCACACATCTGCAAGCCTGGGGCAGCTGGGACTTCACTGGACTAGATATGCTACCTCCGGGTGTGCCTTTGTTTGTCCCCTCTATAATCTACCACGTACTGGGCATGAGTTCTGTGCCAGGCACAGTGCTAAGGGCTTCGAGGACATGATCTCCTATTACTAATCCCCATTTTAGAGAGAAGACAAAGGCTCAGAGAGGTTAAGTGTCTAGAGAGTCGTCTAGCCAGGAGGGAAGAAATAGGCCAAGACACAGGCCTGGCTACTAACTCCAAAGTCTCCGTCGATTCCTCTCCTCTACTAACCAATGGTGCCAGGCTTGGGGATCCACAGAGCCACATTGTGAGAACCCTGGGAAACAGGCCCAGAACTGGCAAAGGACCTAGCCAGGGTCACGCAGCAGCCGGGTCATGCTTGGGTTTTTCTTCCCTCCCCTCCTCCCCTCCCCCAGCCCAGGATGCCCACCTCGGCATGAAGCAGGCACCAGGCAGCCACGTGACGTGTCGAGCTGCACTTGCCATATGCATACACACATTGTACTTATTTCAGGACACACACATCTTAGGTGGCAGGGTGGCCTGTTTGAGTCCTTGTCTCACCACGTCCTAGTTGTGTGGTCTTGGGCATGTTATTTGGGTTTTCAGTGCCTCTGTTTCGAGGCAACTGGGAGAAACCCTGACTCAAAATAAAAAAAGACTGGGGATGTAGTTCAGTGGTAAAGTGCCCCCACTCAAGCTGCAGTATGGAAAAAAAAAAGGTGCTTAGAACAGGCCTGGCAGTTCATGTTCCTTTTGGTACAGATGGCGCCCAACATGTGTATTTTTTTTGGAGGGGGGTATCGGGGACTGAACTCGGGGGCACCTGACCACTGAGCCACATCCCAGCTCTATTATTTAGAGACAGGGTCTYGCTGAGTTTCTTAGCGCCTCGCCCTTTGCTGAGGCTGGCTTTGAACTCGTGATCCTTCTGCCCTGGCCTCCTGAGCCGCTGGGATTACAGGCATGTGCCACTGCACCCAGCTCTGCCATGTGTTTTGATTAAATGCTTCTCTTGACTTTAYGATGATGCTGAGGTTATAGTCATTTGCTAGAAATGGAACTATGAAGTTTGAACTCAGATTTTTTTCCTGGGCTAGAGATTTGTGACATGATCTCTCTCAGAATTCTGAACAGTAACAGTGAGATGCAGCACCCAGTTAATTCTGTAATGACGAGGAGTGACAGGTGACACTCTACAAGGTGCTTTGTGGCTGACCTAGGATATGCAGGAGGTTAGGTGCACAAGATATCTTCAACTTAGGCCGGGTTTAGAGGGGAGTGAGCCCATTGCTGAGGATCCTTAGTATAAACATGTGCTCACATAATCCCGTTCGGACTCCCAGATCCCGTGCACGCCCACGAGCACACACTACACACACGGCCGGGAATGCATACACGAGCACGTGCCTTATGTCTCTGTACCCTCGCCCCGGGAGACCTTACTGGAGAAGTGACTTGTCCCTGCTGTCTTCAGGCCAGGCCACCACGCACTTGGTGGCGCCCTGGTCCACGGTGATGGTGGAATAGAAGCACTGGGGGAAGGCGAGGGCCAGGGCCACCAGCCAGATGCCCGCGATAACTGCCTTGGTGCTGGGGGCGGAGAGCCGTGGCTGAAAGGGATGGACGATGGCCATGTACCTGTGGGCAGAGCACAGATCGAGTGGTGAGAGCCCTCCTGTCCCACCTGTCCCCTTCTCCATTCCTCTGCCCAGGTCCACACGCTGCTGACCATGTCCACGGGTGTTGGAGTTATGCCAGTTCTGCAGAGAGTGGAGCTGGGGACTCTCACAGCCACATGGAGATGTCCTGCGTAGGCGCCATCCTGTTCCGTAACCACTAACCACGTGTGGCCAGGAGTACCATACGCATGGCCAGCGTGACTGGGGAACTGAATTTTAAATTTTAATTTAAGGGATTGGGGATGTGGCTCAAGCGGTAGCGCGCTCGCCTGGCATGCGTGCGGCCCAGGTTCGATCCTCAGCACCACATACCAACGAAGATGTTGTGTCCGCCGAGAACTAAAAAAATAAATAAATATTAAAATTCTCTTCTCTCTCTCTCATTCTCTCTCTCTCTTTAAAAAAAAAATTAATTTAAATTTAAAGAGCCACATATTGGACAGCACAGGCCCAAACCTTTAAACTTGGCCCTCGAGGCCTCTGCACGTGGCCAACGCACTGGCCAGCCTCCTCCCACTGCCTCCTGAGCCTCCCGGGCTCACTCTGGCCATGAGCCAGCCCTGCAGGGTCTCTCTTGGGCCTTTCCTTCCATCTCAGGCTGCAGCTCCTCCTTCCTCTCTGTGTTCATCAAAGTTCCCAGGAGATGCCACCTGCAGACCTGCTCAACTCGGGTCTCTCTCTGGGGGACTGTGTTTGGCAGCCCTGTGCCTGGTGGGGTGCAGGGCCCACCACCCACTGGTCTTAGATGGGGATTATTTATTTCCACATTAGGTGACAGGCTTGGAAATGTGGAGAGACAGCCAGCTTGGGAAAGGCAGAGCTGGATTTCAGCCCTGGTTGGTCCAGCTGTGTGCTCCTGGGTTGTGAAGTCCCCTGTTCCCAGGACCTGTACAACACTGTAGGAGGGTCCTGGGGCCTGGTGAGCAGAAGCCTCGTGAGTCTAGAGCCCTGATCAAGGAGGGTGAGCTGCACGTCTCTCCAAGTCAAAGGATCCAAAGGGCACCGTTCAACACAGGCATGGCTGTCCGCCCCGAGTCCCCCAATATGCAGTGTGACCTAAGGTCTTGGTTTCCCCCTCACTAGAAGGAGGAGGTGAGACTAGATTAGTGGGTCTCTTTGTGTCCTGGGCCTGTTGCTGTCCAGTGGAGCCCATGGACCCCTCCTTAGAATAAGATTTGGGGGTGGGGTAGTGGGGATGGAACACAGGAGCACTTCACTGAGCCACATCCCCAGCCCTTTTAAAAACGTTTTTATTTTTATTTTTTAATGTTGAGACAGGGTCTCCCTAAGTTGTTGAGGATGGCCCCAGACTTGGATCCTCCTGCCTCCTCCCAAGTTGCTGGGATCACAGGTGTGTGACCCTGCGCCTCGCTAGAATGAGATTTTCTTTTAAAATATTTATTTTTTAGGTTTAAGTGGACACAATATCTTTATTTTACATTGATGTGGTGCTGAGGATCGAACCCAGTGTCTCGCGACTGCTAGGTGAGCACTCTACCACTGAGCCACCACCCCAGCCCTAGAATGAGACTTTTTAAATGAATAAATTATAATACTCATGATTACAAAGAGCATCAGTCATACTGAAGTACAGTTATCAAAACATAAAATAAATTTGGGAAGTTGTAATATATGCACTTTTTTATCAACACACTAAACAACAAGATCTAGCTGCAGATCTGGAACCTATGGTAATTTTGAAGTAGTGATTGTGTAACCACACAAGAATCTATGACTCTCTCTCTCTCTCTCTCTCTCTCTCTCTCTCTCTCTCTCTCTCTCTCTCCTTTTTGTGTGGTTCTGAGGATCAAACCCAGGGCCTTGCACATGCCAGGCGAGTGCTCTACCACTGAGCTACACCCCCAGCCCACAAGTATCTATGATTTCTGTTGGTGACAAAGCCCCGGGTGCTGCTGCGGTCCCGGGGAAGTGTGCTTGCTGCCTACCTTTGTGCTTGTGTCGTTTTTGTCCCCACATGAGTTCAGGAACCTTGTGGTTTCTGCCTGTGGTCTGCGGTCATGGGTTAGGTTCTCCTGGACCAGATGATGTTAGTGTCCTCCCTCCTTGTCCCGTGACACGGACCTCCCCTGACTACCACAGGAGCTCGGGCTTTGAGCACGTGATTATTCCTATTTATTCATTTCCTTTACATTGAGCAGAAATGGCCTTGGTACCTGGTGACCCCTGGCTCTTTCTCCCCTGGATGAGTCCAAGCCTTGGGACAAGGCAAGGACAATGGACTGTGGCCTCCAATTCTACGTAGCCCCTACCCAGCAGGGCAGTCCCCACCCGGTGTCCCGGGCGTCACGGGAGCTCTGACTGCTCCGCGAGCTTTCCACCTTCTGCCTGGAACGGTCACCCCCAGAGGTCACTCATTCCCTCCTCCTGGTGGCTCAGATCCACCCTCACAGGTCCATCCTGATGCCCGTTTAACATGACAACCTGCCCCACCTCCCATCTGATCTCTGATATTTTTTCAAAGCCTCATGACCTCAAAACACAGCACGGAATTCATGGATTCAGGTGCTTATGATTCAAACTCTTGCCAGGGGAGGCTCATTTACCCGTTTTTTTTTTTTTTTTCCTTCTCCCAAACACCCAGAATAACATCTGTACTTAGCAAGCACGGGACATGTATTTGCTAAATAAATGAAGATGCAGGGAAATGAATGAAGGCGTTTCCACCGTGAACTGATCTGAGCTGCCCACCTCCGTCACCTGGATTATTATTCAACAGCTTCCTGCCTGGTCTCCTGGCTCCCCCCCTGCTCTCCACAGCACCCCTGCCCCCTACAGCACCCCCTGCCCCCCACAGCACCCCCTGCCCCCTACAGCCCCCTGCCCCCCACAGCATCCCCTGCCCCCCACAGCACTCCTGCCCTCCACAGTGCCCCTGCCCTCCACAGTGCCCCTGCCATCCACAGCCCCCCCTGCCCCCCACAGCCCATCTCCATCCTTTAAGATGAAAGCCCTGTGAGGTCAGGAGTTTCAGATTTCTTCCCACCAGCGTGTGTCCCCCCCCTCATGTTCAGAACAGTGCCTGACCCAGGAGGCACTCAGGGATACCTGGGGGGTGTCAGGGTGCTTTGGTGGTGGGTGCTGTCAGGGGACGAGGGACAGTTCCTCCACCAGCAGCCCAGAGGGCTGGGCTCCCCGTGCCTGGCTCTGCCCCTGACTGGCTGGCGGACCTCCGTCTCGGGTTCCCTGGGTGTTGAGTTAGACATGGGGTTTAGATGGAGAGTCCTCAAATTTTTCATTTTTAACTGGTGGAAAAAAAAATGTCCCAAATGTTTTACTATTTCCCAAAGTGAAACAGCTACAGCTGAGCCACCAGCGGCTGCAGGGGAAGGCTGCTGGGGCATTTGGGGTGGGTTTGTGGGGAGGCTCACACCAGCCGAGCCATCCTGATGAGGACTCCGTGTCTCTGAGGGTCCCGGGCCCCACCCTGCCTCCCCCACACTCCCCATCTTTCCTGTTGGACGTCAGCCCACACCTCACTCCCCCAGGCACCCGAGTCCTCCTCTCCATCCCAGCCCAACCCTGCCTGCCCCAAATGCTTTCAAAGAACACCAGACAGTCCCCTAGCCACCTCCTCCACCCCTGCCCAGGACCCCTCCTCGGGAAGTCACAGTCTGCAGAGCAGCTCAGGGAAACAACGTTCCTGTTGTAACAAGATAATGACCGCATGCAACACTAAGKTTTTTTCCGTCACTTAATCTACCTGAAATAAGAAAACGATATGAACAATTTCCTTGTAGTGGTGCAAAGACCTCACAACAAAGATCAGCCCCAGTGAGGAGCCGTCCAAAGGTCCCTACAGCCTTGAACAGCCATCCAGAGCACAGTCCTTCCCGAGTCTAACCTTTACTCCACCTGCTGCAGTCCCGCAGTGCCCCTGTCTCCCAGATCCATAGCTTTGAATCACGACAGGTTTGGGAAATGGTTCCCTGAGTCCCCCCTCCCCAATTTGCTGTGGGACCATGAGCCACTCCGTCTGAGCCTCAGCAAAGCCAGACGCTCCCCACCCCCGCCTCCCTGCCACCCCCTCTTGCCTGTCAGCGGCGATGGCTGTCATGGAGTAGATGCTGACGAACGTGACTGTGATGGGGAAGAGGTTCTGGAAGTAGCAGAAGACGCGGCCGAAGTACCAGATGTTGTGGCTGGCATAGACGAAGTTGAAGGTGGCATTGAAGGTGGCCATGCACAGGTCAGCCAGGGCCAGGTTGACGATGAAGTAGTTGGTGACCGTGCGCATCCTCTGGTGGGCCAGGATGATCCAGATGACAGTGGCGTTGCCCGTCACGGCCACCAGCACCAGGGCCAGGTAGGCTGTGGCCCACAGAGCCAGCTGCCAGCCGGGCATGGAGAAGGCAGTGACGTCTGTGGCGTTGCTCTCGAGGCCAGATGAGATGTTGGCGTCACCCAGGAGAGCGCAGGCCCCCATGGCTGGGTCTGGGTCTGGGTCCAAGCTCTGGGTCCAGGGGGCCTGGCTCCACAGCTCCTCCTGGATTTGCTACAGAACACAAATCGGCTTTGGTGTGTCGCTATATGGGGGCAAAGAGGGGCGGAGAGAGGACCAGATGCCAAGTGAGCCACACCAGCCTGGGGGCCACGCCTACATCTCCAAGATGAGTCCGGCTGAGCGAACGCCYAGCCAAGCTATTATCACGTCAGATTCCTGCACCCGGGCCAGACTCTCTCATGTCTCAGGGACATCTAGAATTTAAATCCTGTTGCCAGAGCAGGAGACATCCTYGTAAAATATCAGGTCAACCTCTTCACTGACCGACTGAGGCTAAGGGAGGATGTGACCTCGGAGGTCATAAGTCAGAACTTGAATCCAGGCCTCTCCTAAGGCTCCTCAAGAAAAATTCCAGATGAGAGTCTGCACAGGGGGGTAGATCCCCCAGCCTACGGGGCAGCGGGCCACCTCTCCAGGCCTTGGGGTGCAGGCGGCCTGGGGGCTCACAACCCAGGGGCCAGCCCGTGGCCGCTACTCCCCAGCTGCTCTTCCCAGGGCCTTGGCAGAGGCTCTGCCTGCTCTTGAGGCCCTCATCCCACCCCCTGCTTGGCGGGGCCTTGTCTCTTGAAAGATTTAAGACGGCCTGCAAGGCGGGCAGCGGCCTCCCTGGAAAACAGCCGGGAGGGGCTGGCATGGAGGGCACGGTCCTCAGAGGTGTTTACACTCCGCCTGGGACAGGAGCTTCATCTAGAGAGTGATCGGAGTACATATTTGGGAGCCAGAGTGAGTCTGAGCCTGGCTCTGCGACTCTGGGCGAGTCTCTTCATCTTTCTAAAAAGGAAGTCTTTGTGGGATGGGCAGAGATGCCCAGGGGTGTCAGGGTGCTCTGGGGTGGGTGCTGTTGGGTGATTCTGCCCTGCACCAGCCGCCCAGAAGGCTGAGTTCCCTGTGACTGGCTGGCAGACCTCAGGCCATCCTGCTCACCTCCAGCCTCAGTTTCCCTGGATGTAGAGTTAGAGCTGGGCTTCGCTGAACAGTTCTCAAACTTTTCATTTTTAACTGGAGGAAAAAAAAATTCCCAAATGAAACCTGCAGGGAACCTCTGGGGTAAAACAGCTACAGCTGAGCCGTGAGAGGCTGCCGGTGGAGGTTGACCTGGCAGTTGGGGTCACTCTGTGGGGGGCGATAGGGGAACTAGCTACCTCATCTGAAGAATATAGAAAAGAAAAAAAAGTGCGCACCTCACTGTATATTTGTAAATTTCCAATGAGATATTGTGTGTAAAGTCCATTTAGCCCAAAGATGGTACATCTAAAGCATGACATGGATTTATGACCTCAAGGGAAGTCCCCAGGAGCCCAGGCCTCTACAGCAGGGAGAAAAGAGAACCTGGAGCGTTTCCAACCAGATCCCAGGGGAAGTGATGCTGCTGCTCCGGGCCTCGCTCCCCCTGCCCTGCTTCTCCCCCTGTGTTTTCCAGCCCGCGGCCTCCCGCCTCCCTGGTGGAGCTGGGAAAGACCTCGAAAGCTCTCCAGTGTTCAGAGACCAGGCTGCCCCTGGAATCCAACACAGAAACAGCGCTAGGCCGCTCATCATGAAACTTAGACCTCTGCTGAAACTGGAAGAGATTCTTTCTAGATTTTTCTGATTGTGAACTTCTGGGTAAATGTATCAACACTCAACCCTAAAATCATGCCTCTTGTTGGTGTCCTTGCTGTGCTGATGTGTGAGCCGTCCTGGGTCTAGGGGGATCCCGCCCTTGTCCTTGGGGTAGAGGCTGCTTCCTGGTCCCTGCTCCTTCCTGGGGGTGTGTGCTGGAGAACTCTGGGACTCTTGCCTCCTGGCCTCCTGAGAGCCAGCTCCAGACAGAACTGGCTGGATCATGGGGCCTGCCCTGTTCCCTCTCTGGAGTGGGCCACTATCATTTATTTGGACTTTGGTCCCCTGCTGAAGGGTCTCTGCCTTGTGTCTCCTTTGGTGGATGCAGCAGCTGTCTCCACTCCACTCTGGGGCTTGTTTCTGTCTTGCCTGGGCCCTCGACGGCCCGTGTGCAGGGATGCGAATGCAATCACGAGACAACCTTCTCTCTGCCGTCCTGGCCTCCTGCTCTCAGGCAGCCAGAATTTGTTGAGCTTTGAGTGCAAACAGTGCAGGGCTGGGTTGCCTGAGAGCATGTCACAAGTCCCAGAAACCCAGAATAGAACACGCCGGCCCCAATGTCTCGCCACCTCCACTGTGTATGTAACGGGGATTATGTTTTACAGCTACTAAATCTGAGTTTTTATTTCCCCCTTAAATCATAGGCTCTTGTAACCTTCCAACTATGTGCTATAGGACTTGCAGCCTTGTAGATGGAGAGGGTGGGGCCTCCCAGGACAGATGGGGTTTCTGCCAGAAAGCTCTTCCGGCTGGCTTTTTTTTTTTTTTTGTACCAGAGATTGAACTTTCAACCCAGGGGTGCTTAACCACGGAGCCACATTCCCAGCCTTTTTTATATTTCATTTAGAGATAGGGTCTCACCGAGTTGCTTAGGGCCTCACTGAGTGGCTGAGGCTGGCTTTGAACTGCAAATCCTCCTGCCTCAGCCTCCGGAGCTGCTGGGATTCCAGCTGAGCTCCACTGCAGCCGGCTCAGTGCTGGCCTTCTGAGCCAACAGATGGCCAATGGTCTCGAAGGCCAGCCTTTGTTAAAAGAGAAGAAAATATTCCAAGATCCTCTATCCTACGGACACATCAAGAACGAAGGGCTTGCCCATGGAGGTTGTGCAGGGCACATCCCATGGGGGACATGGAGGAGAAAGCCTGTCCATGCACTCAGGCTGGGACTGGGGCTGACAATGCAGATTGGGTACTTTCAGGAAGCAGTTCGATTCAGAGTCCAGTGTGCAGGACGCTGATGTGGGAGATCCCTTGGGATCAGCATCTGGAAGGCAGGGGCCTGTAGGAGTGGATGGCGGAGGGTGCTGAGCTGGGTGCAGGTCCCAGAGCAGCTGGGACAACTTCCRAGTGGCCAGGAACTAGAAAAGCCTTTGAGATCTGCCCTGTGGGGCAAAAGTGGCCAGGGCTTTCCATTTCCACGTGGATCGCTGGATGGGGGCCACCCCAAGAAGAAGTGTGACAGTTGACAAGGCCTAACGAGGGTGACAGCTAAATACTATCCCCAACAACACAGGCAGCAGCTTGCCAGGGCATCTGGGCAACACAGCAGGGTCCCCCACAGATGAACAGCCTTTTGGACAGGGGTGTGTGCTTCTGAGGGCGCCTTGCTGGTTTGTTATTGTGACCTCCAGGCTAGAGCCCTGGCGACTAGAGTTAGGAGAATGTCTTAGGCGGTTTTCCATTATGACAAAACACCCAAGGCCGGGTAACGCATTAAAAAAAAGAGATTTATTGAGCTCAATTAAAGTCCAGCAGCATGGTGCCAGCTCTGGCAAGGGCCCTCCTAACTAAATCAGATCATGGTGGGTGGTAAGGTGGCAGGAGTGTATGTGAGAGGCAGTGAACACTGGGTGACACTGAAGGCCAGAGAGACCAGAAGAGGCTGGTCTTGCTGTTTTATGAGAACTACATTATTCCTTTCAAGGGCCACGCCCCCAATGACCTAACCAACTCCCACGAGGTCCCGCCTATTAAAGGTCCCACCACTTCAGGCCTGGCACGGTGGCACACGACTGTAATCCCAGCTACTCAGGAGGCTGAGGCAGGAAGATCACAAGTTTGAAACAAACTTGAGCAACTTAGAAAAATCCTTCCTCAAAAAAGAAGAGTCTCGGGGCTGGGGATGTGACTCAAGCGGTATAGCGCTCGCCTGGCATGCATGCAGCCCGGGTTTGATCCTCAGCACCACATACCAACAAAGATGTTGTGTCTGCCGAAAACTAAAAAATAAATATCAAAATTCTCTCTCTCTCTCTCTCTCTCTCTTGTCAATATCACTGGAGACCAGGCTGCCAACACAGGCGCTCTATGAGCACACACTGGAACCATACCCAAACTCTAGCAGAAAGGATTATTTTTCATAGAGTTTGGAGGGAAGAAAATGTAGGAGTAGATGTAAGTTATGAGGGAAGTGAGTGGAGAATAAAAGGGGGAAAGGAGGTGGATGAAGTGCTCCTTCCACGGGAGCCTTTGGAGGAGGCCCACTGAGTCTGGCCTGGGACTGCTTTGCAGCCTGGCTTCCGTGAGTCCTATGCAGCATTGGGGACATTAGTTCTGGATAGCACTGAGGGTCACCTATTGACCATGGGGTCTTGCCGGGTGGTGACAGTTTGGATCTGGAACGATCCCAGGGCTCACGTGGTGAGGGCTTGCTCCTCAGTGCAGCAGTGTTGCAGTGGGGCTCTGGGAAGTGACTGGCTCATGGGGGCTCTGACCGCAGCAGTGGACTGTCATCGGCCTCATGATTGGATGGATTATTGGGAGGTGGTGGAAACGAGGGGAGGGGAGGCCTCGTTGAAGGAAGGAGGTCAAGGGGGCAGCCCTAAAAAGATACATTGTATCCCTGCCTCTCCTCTTTTCCTTCCTTCCTTCCTTCCTTCCTTCCTTCCTTCCTTCCTTCCTTCCTTCCTTCCTTC